AACTGAATGGCATAGCCTAGTCAGCAAACACACACACACACACACACACACACACACACACACACACACACACACACACACACACACACACACACACACACACACACACACGTTCGATTAGTGCTGAACAAAGCGGAAGCAAGACAGCAATGCAAAAAAAACGCATACCTGTAAAATACTTAAGATGTACAAAATGAAGTCATATGCCAAATCTTGGGGTTGAAAAAAACGTAGAAGCAGATCACTGTTTATTACGCGGAATTACTATACTAGGGGAACGTACGGTAAATTATGCAGTGATTCTCTCATTTTACCACTCGCTCACCTAGTCCGCCAGTTGCAGAAGTCAGATGGAATAGTATAGTAAGATTATCCGTGTTTTAAACTCTCAAAACCGCCATATGATTGGGAGCCGTTGTAGTGGAGGGACGATGAACATTTTTTCGGCCGTCTGATGTTCTTTAATACCTGTGTCACACGGGCGCGCAAAAAGTCTTTTAAGTAAGCGGTCTTTTACGAAGTTGAAAGACTTTTAACAAAGAGGTGTTTGCGGCGCAGACACACGGCAGCAACGATCTCCTTTTAGTGTTTTCGTTCGAAGACGCTAGCGAAAGCGTGGCGCTAGCAGTTAAAAGAGAAGCAATGAAAATTAAACGATGTATCACGATGTACAAATCAAACACTTGTTGCACTGCTCGTTTCTTCAAATAAATTTAAGAATAAGAGATGAAGAAACACCAATGTGAAAGTTTTTTGCACTAGATAAGGAAGCATCCCCATAACTAGCGACGTGCACAAGTCCGTCTGGCAACACTGTGCTTTTATTTACTGTATTTGTTTTTCGCTGCTCTCGACTGCTCTCGAGTCTCGACACGTTATGGGCGATCGTACGGGAGAAAAAGCGAGGATCGCAAGCCTCACGGCCTGCCTTCTCGCTCTGGAAAGCGAGGCAGACGCTACAAAAGCCGCCAAGGAGAGGATAAAGCAGCGCAAGACCGAGCGTCACCACGTGATATTGCCGACGCGTTGTAGCTGCTTACGAGAGTAGAAAAGGAAATAACCATTAAAGGAGTTCATTACACCTTCTACGGGATATTAAATGTGTTTTTACAAAGAGTTTTGGTGACAGAAAAATAAGCATTCGCTCTTTTTTTTCCACCACTCGAAAATTGCTCGCGCCCACTGGTTTCGAGGCTACTCATTCGGAGCCGTAAAAGAGATCGACGAACGCCGTTTACGAAAAAGACCGCTTCTGAAAAGGAGTTCGCTCTGTGCCGTGTGTCTGCTGTCAGGAACTCCTTTTCGGAAAAAGACCGCTTACTTAAAAGACTTTTAAGTGCCCGTGTGACAGGGGTATAACGTTTTCTGGTAACGGACAGTAAACGGGCTTTCAGCGTTTCGCCTTCATCGAAATGCGACCACTGCGACGGGGGATCGAACCCGAAACCTTCGGATCAGCAGTGAGAAAGCATAGTAGTTAAACTTGCGTTTCGTCCTGTGGGATTCACTAGAGCGGCTTCGAGAACCCGGTGGGCGTGGCGAAGAAACAAAAAGGAAACATCAAGCTAAGAAAGGGAAACGAGACAACCACCGGTTTGTAGCACGAAGCCACTATAGTCTTCCGGCACCTTGCAGGTTTCGGCAGAACCAATTTGCAAAACATCAAGCTATAGCCGGTTATGTAATAACCCATTCTAGGTGGTTTGACCGCGCTTGAACGGTGCTCTCGGTGTACCCATTCCATCCCTCATTCGAGCAATCGTCGAGTCCTTGGAGGACGACGTGCTCTGAACTAATAAAACCGCTCGCGAGAGGGAGAGAAGAGAGAGAGAGGTAGAAAAGAATGGCTGGGCGGTTTTTCCACGTGCGTGGCCTGTTCTCACGTACGCGTGACACGGAACGGCAAGCAACCGGTCCGCATCGGTTGACGGCGTGGTGCGGTGTCACCTGTACCTGGTGGCACGCCAAAGCTGCCCACGTGCCACAACGACGTTGTCCCGTGTAGCGATTGTTTGGCGGTCGAATCTCTTCACTTGTTTCGGGTTTATTAACAGAATCTGAGAACACAATGCATATGTGGTTCCGCAGCACCTTTAGGAGGAGACCCGAAAGGAGCTCTTCTATCAGAATCCGTCAGAGTAAACTTTAGTAAGCACAGAAGTGAACTGCACTATGCAGGTTTGTGATAGGTGATAAAGTTGTAACAAACGAAACTTTGAAAAATTGAATGCAATGTTTCAAGCCCTGTAACATACTGAGACGAACTTCTTCTCAACGTCGTAACCCACCCCGTCATGTCTACTGACATGTTTACTGACTTTTTGAGATATTCCAAGTGTTATTACTTTCGAGCTTTTCTGTACTATTTAGACACCGCTTTTCTTTTGTTTTCAATGCACTGTATGTGAATGGGCCTTTTCGAGTACACTTTTGCCCCTCCTGCTAGGGCCCCAGTCGGGCCTGGAGTATTCTGTAAATAAATAAATGAATGAATAAATTAATAAATAAATAAATAATAAATAAATAAATACTGATATCACTTGTTGCAGGGTTAGTGGCAGGGAATATTTCGAAGCTGAGTTTCCTCTGACATACAAACCTTTTTCATACAGACACACCTTTTAGCAGGTGTGAAGCTCGGGAAACGCTTATAAGATAGTTTGTTTTGGCATTAGGATCAATTCTCGATCGGCCCACCTTCTGACGTACTGTCAGGTAGCGCGAATTTCAGGCACGAGAGATAAAAAAAGGCGTTACACAAGCGCTAAATTTCCAACGAAATTTTATTGAAGAAGTACGGGAAAAATGTACAGATAACCGTGCGCCTGCGCAGCTTCACAACGACAAAGCCGTGCCACCCAAAGTGATAAGCTTGAGCTCAACTGCAGTTGCGCACGAAAAATATATACTGAAAGTTATTAAATCACACGTCGCTATGAGGAGGTACGCCTAAATAAAAATTTTTTTTGACAGTGCAATGGAAGATGCGCGATGCACAATATCATCTTGGCCTATTTCTGCTGCATCTATTATTTCTCGCGTTTTCTGGTCGCCATGAGTGAAAAGTGCGGCATGCCCTCCACTACGACGTCTCTCATACTCATATGATGGTTTTGAGACGTTAAACCCCACATATCAATCAAAACCAATCAAAAGTGCGACATGTTTTTTTTTAATTCTGGTGTACAACCACAGCTTGGGCAGTGCGTCGCCACGTGACCTCGTTCTTCATGTGTTTCTTCAATAAATTTCAGCTGGGAATTCAGCGCTTTTGTGTCGCCTTCATTGTCTCTCGTTGCTGAAATTCGCGCTTACCCGACAGTTATTTGGAGTGTACCAACAAGCCGAAACAAGCAACTTCTGACGTACGTAGTAACGTTACATGAGGCGACAGTGTCAATACGCCTTTTTCGTTGTTCTGTACTGCCATCTACCGTTTCGGTGGTGTTTCGGTAGGGACCCGGATAACCGGTATCCCCTCAAGCAAAGCCTTCGAGGTGAGGATTTCAATAAACTTTAGCTGGAAATTCGGCGCTCGTGTGTCGCCTTCATTGTACCTCCTTGCTGAAATTTGCGCTAACCTAACAGTTAATTGAAGTATACCAATCAGCCCAAACAAGCAGCTTCTGACATAGCAGTAGCGTAACGTGATGTGACAGTGTCAACACGCCTCTTTCGTTGTCCTGTGCTGCCAGCGATCGTTTCGGTGTTGCTTTGGTAAGGACCCGGATAACCGGTATCCCCTCAAGCAAAGCCTCCGAGGTGAGGACATGTTTCGCGATTTTTTTTTTTTGGTAGACGATGGACGCAGACGCTGGGGCGTAGCGAGAGAGCCGGATTCTGCTGGTTTCACGCACCACTTAGGCGAATCACGATCACGTGATGTGCCGAAAGATACACAAGTTGTGCACCAGTATAGTGCAGCTACAGAGTGGAGTGGCTGCGGAAACGTCACGGTGTCTTTGGCAAGCACGGCATTAGAAGCTCATATGATGTCGTGACATCATGCTACTGTGCTAATCATAACTGGCCTTTAAGAACGTCGTGATTAATTTTCCAGGAGGCGCTCAAGTTCGCCAGTACCTTTTCTAGACTCGAGTCGTCGGCCTGTTATTAATCGTAGGCACAAAAAAAACTAAACATTATTTAGCCAGTATCTTTTATAACATTCCGAGACGCTGCTTGTCGTTCCCTCAGCTCTGCGCTTCTCGATCCCTCCTCGTGTTCCCAGCGTGCGCCGTGTGTGTTTCGTTTTTGGCGTCTGTGTCATAGTGTCGATATTTTCGGTGCACTATTATCAACTATTACCTCGGCCTGAGACCCTACATCTGCCATATCCATCAACGTAAACCAAGCCTAGTTTGTGTAGGGTAAATTGTGATGCCTTGGCTAATGTTGGTAATGTGTGAAAACCGCTATAATATGAGCATCACTGTCTTCGTTTGTGCTAAAGGTAATAACACAATCAACAGCGAAGATGTGCAAGAAGGCTCACCTGCAACTTCATTGCATTCAATGTATATATATATATATATATATATATATATATATATATATATATATATATATATATATATATATATATATATACTTGCATTTGCGCAGAACTTTGATGTACAGCCACATGTCTATGTAATCATGCTGTCAGAAAATTGTACTTCGGCTCTACATACAGGTGGTAACCAACATTATCAGTCGTACAGACATCTCGTTTCACGTTGATGAAACCATTCTCCGTTAGTTCACGTGCCATTGTATGCGCTCTTGTGGAGTATGCAAATATTTCTAAGGTCCGGCCGCACACATGCAGTATTCACAGTGAACAAATAGACGAGCACCGATCTCATTTTTGATCGGAACTTGGCGTTTCCTCGCTCTCTGCCCAAAGATGATATCGCGTATTGATTGTTTCTGCCTGAATTGTTTGTGCCTGAATTGTTTGTGCCTGGCATCTCCCTTTTTGCTTTTGGTTGACGTCGGCCTCTCTTTGTGTTGCGCAGCTTGTCCAGGTCGACGCAGCACAATGCCCGGATGTGGGGACAGCGCTTCGACGCGCGGATCGCGTTCTCGCGAAGCGCAGTTGCAGAGGCCACAGCGCGCCTTTCCGGCCATGACCTGACGTCATTGCGGGCTCATCCGGGGTGAAGGTAACTGTATGCCACCTAATGTCCGGTCGCATAGACTTGTTTTTTTTTAATTTTTCATATACGATTGACATGATCCTCAACCGACCTGTTGATTGCACCTTGGCGTTTGCGCTGATAACAGTGCCGCGGCGCTCGAACTTAGAAGTGTGCGGAATGCGACAACAATCATGTCCTATAAGCTATATATACGCATAAAATAAAGTCGTAAAAGGGATAGCAGAGAGTTTTAGAATAGCGTAACGCAGAACTTTCCGTTCACGTCGCGTACCTGCCGTACGCTAACCTGTAGCGGACTCCCGCTAAGTGTCGCCCGCAATTCAACGCCCACACCGCCCGCAAGCTTTGCCCCACGCTATTCTAAATCTTCCTAGTAAAGAAGCGAATTCGAAGTTAATTTACCGAAGCGAGCCAAGCATGCACTCGCGTCATGTATAGGTATAACATATCGTATTTAACAGTAAAGATGCTTATATAGGTAAGCTCTGCCGGTTCGTCTTGGTATACAGGGAACCATAGACCCACTGTCGTGCCTCTTGAGCATTGCCCCCCGGCGTCACACTAGGCGTAACCATGGTAACACAGGCGTAACACAGGCGTAACACAGGCGTAACACAGGCGTAACACAGGCGTAACACAGGCGTAGCACAGGCGTAACACAGGCGTAACGGCGTAACAGGCCTTCCATGAGTGTCGCGGTACTGGGTTGCGGCACTCCCCATGAGTCATTGCGGCCCTTTGTCTCGGGATGCAGAGATTTAGCTGGTGCTGTTTGCAGTTGCCCTGTGGACTTGCGATGGGACAGACGCGTGTCGCCCCCCCCCCAAGAGTGAGACGCGTTCTGAAGCGCCTATGGGCGCGAACACGACCTTCAATCGCAGCACATATAGTATCACCGCCACCCTCTTGGGAGTTACTTCTTGTAAAGCGTCCCCATCGTTACCTATCTGCAAGGTATCTCGCATGAACTCTAAGAAAATAGGCCAAAGAGTGGGCGTGTCAGGTGATTTTTTTCCACACCAAATATACTGTCTCAGTTATCTATCCGAACTAGTGCCGTAGGAACCACCGCGAGTGGCTGCAAGATTAAGCACCGTAAAAAGTTTGTTGAGTGTGCAACAGGGATTGTTTATGGTGTGCCTCTGTGTGTATGACTTGAGTACGTAGGTCAGTCATTGCAGGTGCCTCAATGTAAGACTTCAGGAACAGTGCCAGAAAGTGAGAAGTGTAGGACGGAGCGGTTTTTTTTGGCTGCTCATTGTTCCAAATGTGGGTTCCAGTCATTGTTCGAAAAGACAAGGGTTCTCGCGTCCCACCCTAACGAAGGCACCGAGACTTGTAATCGAAGCTGCAGCAATCGCTCGAGGCAGCTGGATCAGCAAACCATCAATAGCGTTATCTTCGGCGTTTATAAATTCGGCACGTGAGGGTCCAGGGTGAGTACGTGGTTTCTTGCAGTCTGTTTTGACTTTTTTGTTTTTTGTGTTTTTTTGGTTTCTGCTTAAGCAAGTGATCTTATCGTCTTTTTTCTAACATATATATGTGCGTCGTAGTAGTAAGAATTAGTTGAAAAGTGTGTGCTCGTCCTCGTCTTTCTGTTTAGTTGTCGGAAGTTTTTGCGCGGAGAAGTTTATAATAAATCACCAACTAGCCTTCGTTGTAACTTTACCTTAACTTCGTTGATAGTCGCGGAAAGGCTCTGAACATTTCATTACATTCAGCAAGAGTTTAAATTACTCATGTCAACCAGTGCTAGGAACTGTTTCGTTATTGCCCACCGTTTAGTAGACTAGACAGAACTGCGCACATACCTCGTATTCTCGTCCTACTCAGTCGAAGCGGTCATCAATAACAGTATAGCAAGTAATAACCAGGTCAAGCAAGTACCCTTCTAAGTGCTAGTAGCAGGCCAGTCTTCTCCTCTCACTGCCTAGAATGTTTTACGGGGAGGGCCCACTTGCTGGCTACCTTAAAATTTTTAGAAAGACATTTATTTTCACTTCATATTTTCGGGAGAAACACCCTCTTCCATAAAAACTCCGAGGAGGAGGGAGTAGAGGGCCATGTCCCTAGGACACACCGGCTCCTGGCTACGGGATTGGCTGGTATTATCTGCCTTAAGAAGTACCTGAACTATTAGTTCGTTCTTACCTGACCTGGTGTCGCCATTATTAAATCGTAGCATCTTGACCATATTTCCTTTCCCCTTTCCCTTGTCTTTCTCACTTCCTCAGCTGCTGGGAGAAAGCCGCCTGGTGCCATGCGGGTGATCATGCTGCGGCAAAGGAACCTAAAGTACTTTTTCTATATAGTGGCCGCCATCTTCTCCCTCAGTCTTCTTCTCCTCTCCCTGCTGAAAGCTGCCAGCACCGAAGACGGTAATGCACTCGCACCTGCGTTGCTACAGTTCGGCGACACTGCCTACACCCTGCTGCCGTCCTCGACGTCCAGGACGTACAGGATCCTCATCTGGGACGTCGGCAAGCGCATGTCGAGGCGGTTCCTTCGCTCCTTTGGCAACACAGAGAAGGATCCGTTCGCGTCGTGCAGCGTGCGAAACTGCGTACTGGACACGTCGAATGGCCGGATAGACGAGGCGGACGCCGTCATGTTTCACCTACATCTCACCAAAGGACCCCACACGCTTCCGAACAAGAGGAGACGGCCGGGCCAGTTCTGGATCTTCTTCACAGACGAGTCCCCGCTGCACACGTTTCTGCTGACCAGGCAGTACAACATGAGCCACTACAACGGCCTGTTCAACCTGAGCATGACGTACCGTAGCGACTCCGACGTGCCCGTGCCTTATGGTCGCACGGTCCGACTGCCAGAAGACAACAAGGACATGCTTCGCGACTACGCGTCCTCCAAGACCGACCTGGTCGCCATCCTGGGCAGCAACTGTGGCGGGGCCAACTTGCGGTGGCCATACGTCCGGGAGCTGGCCAAGCACATCAAGGTAGACGTGTATGGCGGCTGTGGAACTAAGGTGTGTCCGGGTCATTTCACGCGTGACTGCGACGTCACCGAGAAGTACAAGTTTTACCTGGCATTCGAGAACAGCAACTGTCGCGAGTACATCACCGAGAAGCTGTGGTGGAACGCCTACCACAAGGAGGTCGTACCGGTCGTCATGGGCGCGACCCGGGAGGAGTACGCTAGCCTCGGCACCGCCTCACTCGTTCATCCACGTCGAGGACTTCAGTGGTCCGGAGGACCTCGCCAGGTACCTGGTGTACCTCAATGGCAACGCGAGTGCTTACAATGAGTACTTCGCGTGGAAGAGGAAATACGTGGTGAAGAACGAACATGGGTACTTCGGCTCACCGTCACTACACCTGTGTCGTATGTGCGAAGCTGTGAACAGTCTTCAAGGTGCCACCAAGGTTTACAAAGACCTCGAGAGTTTCTGGAATCCTAAGAGAGACTGTCGGCCTCCCGTGTGGGTGCCTACTTACTAAAACAGTGTGATACGATATAGTATTAATACGTTAGGTTACGTTTTTTAGTATTTTTGAAAGCCCGTGCGGGACTCACATCTTGAAAAGAAAGGCTTTCGCGTTGGCGAATGTATAGTCAAGCGACAAAGGGCCTTTACGTGATTACTGCGCGTTCGCTGAAGACGTTCTGCCTTCACAAAGACAGTTATGTGTGGGCTGTTTCTAAGTAAGCTTTGAACGAATCATCTTCTCTAGCCGTTCGTGGTTTCTTACTTGAAACTTAGCTGTTCCTGTTTACTGACGAGTCTAGTCACCTTTTGATTATTGCCTACATGGTCACATACATAAAGAACTTGTTGCTGCTTTGACATGTTCATCGTGTGTCACCTGTAATTGTTTGTGTATGGCTGTGCACTGCGTGGTCAAGGCACGTAAAGCGCTAGCTCGATTAATTATGATGTTGAAGAAAATGTGACCTCTGTTTCATGTATGTTCATGCCTAAAAGATGGGCATAAAATGTAATAAATTGATTTCATACATATTGTGTGACTCGTACTTGTCCCAATCTTCCCAACAATATGTTTCTAGAGTGCTGTAAACCTTCCGACGCTTGCTTGCTTGCTAACTAGATTGCTCGCTTGCTTGACCCTTTATATGTGGCTGGTACTCAGTACGAGGATTGGTTACTTAAACAGGTGGTCAGTAAAAGGCAAACATTTAAAGTTTAGCTGCAGGAAAGCGATAGAATCGGTCGTCGAAGGAATTGTATAAGCCTCGAATTATAATATGCAATAAAATAGTGAGAAGAAATAGAAAAATGAATTTCATTGGGAATAAGTTAATAAAGAATCCTTCATTGTGTTTCCAAGATGGCAATGCAGACGTTGCTGTTACTGTGGCCCAGAGGAGAATCCACGAGGGAACTAATATCTCAAGAATTAATGACAATTCTTCATCATCGAAAGAAAATTTTGAAACGCTCGTTTCACTAGCTAGGGAAATGACGGCATGCAAGTTCAGCAGTGATCGATGTTGTCAGCTTTTTGACAGTAAAACACAATGTCAAGTCCTGTCAGGAGCAGTCTCGGCAGCTGACATAACTTGAGTCAACCTTCTTTTTTATTTACTGCAATGTTTTTTCGGTTTCACATATACTTCGACCACACATGTTGTCAGGTCTGAAGGGCTAGCACAGCCACCAGCTTGCCTCTGTTCAGTTCTTTTTTTTTTGCTTAAATGTTTAGTGAAATTTTCTTAAAATTGTCACGGGGTCGTGACGTGGCTGAAGGCAAGAGACTGAATCGTCAGATCAAACTGTTTATCTGGGTGAACCTGTGCCCGGTAATCGGAAAGTCGGGTTACATTAGCACACTTGCATTGATAGCGGCGAATGCAGCGTCGGATGTCGATTAACTGACGAGCGGCGAAGCGTGACGGCATTATCGCCAGCGTTATCGCTAGCTGCCACATAGATTCGAGAATAATTTGAAATGCCCCCGAACTGGGCGTTATCTCTATTGCAGTCCTGAAGCTTCTCGAACACTCTAGGCGCGGTTTGCGCTGAGAATCGCGTGGCAGCGTGAATGGGGTGACAAGAAAACTTGAGGAAGGAACGTGACGATATGGCAACGACAAAATCATACAACGACAACACAACAGAAATTAACTTTCATTTCAGGTACGAACATAAACAATCACCCGAGTTCTTCATCCTCTTTGAGTTCCTGCAAACAGCACTCCTGTACAAATCCCTGCCATCTTCGTTCCAGCTGGCTCCAACAGTACGTAATAACATAACAGCGCGCAACTTAATCGCTCAACAATCTACTATTATGAAAGGTCTAACGACCTGAGTGCATTTCTTTCCGGCGACAGCAGCGGTAATGGCGGTAAGCTTGGGATAATGAGACATTGGTAGCATGCATCGGGACAATGGAAACATTGCTGTTCTAAATGATGGTGCTAATTGAAGAAAAAGGTGACATCTGGGTAATGTTTACAGTAATGGGCACACGTGAAATACTGTATAGTTATTCCCGCTGCAGCAAATGAAATCTTTTGTTTCGCGCTACATGTTTCTTGGAGAACTCTGTATTATTGTTATTTTCGTGTGTGTGTTTACTTCGACCTTCTTCGACCTTTATTAAACGCCGATGTGAACGGATCCTTTGTTTTTTGTAGTAAACAACTGCGTAAAATGACTACGCTTGTAGCAAGCTACGACCACCGACTATTATGGGTAACTTGGCGTGATTTTTGAGATTGCTTCCCATTTAGAACGTTCTTTGGCCTTGTGAGATCGTCGTAAACAAATCTGCAGTAAAAAAAGTTTGTCTTTTGGTGCTTGGTTATAGTTTTTTTACTTTTACTAAACAAGGTAGCAATATCGCTGCGTGTGAGGATACAGGCGAAAATTGTTAGTTTTTTTTCTTTTACCTTTTTTAACACATCCATTCTTCGCTAAGTGATGCCGCAGTCACAGCTGGAGCTCGTAAACGCTATCCCACAGTACTAAACGTGGTGTCCGCAAATAACTGTAACGTCCGTGTGGTACGTTCTCTCGGTAACGCTAACGCTAAACTAAAATTAGAGTTATAGTTCAGTGGGCTTAGCGAAATAGGGGGGGGGGGGGGCGGTGTCAAAATGTGCTTGCGCAGGGCGCTAAATGACTCGCAGCGTTTGCCATACGCACACTCTTCCTCGAAGTTAGCGTTACCATGTTTACTTAGTTATAACCTAGCATAGGTAAAACGTGGCGGCGGTTTTTTACGCCAGCTTCGAAGTGAATTTAGCGTTATATGGGCATATTCACTTTCGTAGCAAACGAATCTCGAAATTGTCTTCGCTTGCCTTCAAGCAGCTTTGATGACGCAGTATTACGGACAACTTAGCGTAGTGTTTGGAGTCACTCTTCATTGCGAACAGCTTAGGCCTAAGCAGAATGACGTTGTAAACGAATCTACAACAAATATATTTTTCTTTTTGTGCGAGGTTCATATTTATTTACTTTTATTTTTGCCAAACGAAGTATCAATACTGCTGCGTACGGGAATACAGGCAAACGTTCTCAGATTCGTCCCGTTTTATTAGCGCATTCAGCCTCCGCTAGGTGCCACCAATGTCGCAGCTGGGGCACGTATATGCCACCCCGCTAAGCTAAAACACGCTGTCCGCAACGTAAGTTAGCGGCATGGTCACGTTATTATCTTAACCCCCGATGTCGCGCTAACCTATAAGTGCGTCTTGACTAATCTTAGGCGACACAGTGTCAGCCACCGTTCATTGCAATTTTAGGGGCGAAGCTCCTTAGGGCGTGGGCTGTGCGTCCCCTGTAGCCTGTATGTAGCCACCTCTAGTTTAGTTCTTGCAGTGTTCACTAGATGGCGGTACCGTCCCCTGTATGTAGCCACCTCTAGTTTAGTTCTTGCAGTGTTCACTAGATGGCGGTACCGTCTCCTGTATGTAGCCACCTCTCGTTTAGTTCTTGTAGTGTTTACTAGATGGTGGTATTTCCAAAGGCCTGCTGTCTAAACGACTTATTGCGCACGGTCGCACTTTCGTGTCAGGCGGCGTGAAGTATCCCCGAATGAGTCGGATTTAAGGGGCCCCTAAAGAAAATATTCAAGTACAAATAACCAGTGCGCTGTTCTCTCCTGGCGTTTTCATTGTTTCTGGCGTCCTTCGGCTCCCGGGCTGCTTAACGGAGGCAAGAAAAAGAACATGCAGCCGGCCCTGGCCAGCCGACCCGTTTCAAAGTCAGGAGCGCCGACTGAATACGTCACTTTTTGCGTCCAGATCACGCAAGCGATGAGACATGCCGAGAATACAGTGTATGGGCGCCCCGGTGGCTTTTAGACAAAGCGTGTTTGCTCGGCGCAGGCTGGCTGGCTCACGTATAAGGCGGTTCAAAAACGGAATGCCACCGAGAATACTGAAACCTACAACACGATCTGACGTTTTTCACCACGTGCTTGGCCGATACATTGGGCTTCAATCGTGTCACGTATAGCTCCATCTTTTTATTATTCCTCCGTGACTCTAGTCTGTACATTTTCCATTTCTCTGTGCTCAGGACTCCAGATTGGTCTTTAACGTATACGGGACTATTTTACCTAATCCATACGGGCGTCGCCATCTTGGGTGGTTAAGCCAATGTTTTCATGGTTTTGTATAATGCAAATTGAATTATTAGTACTAACATGGTCATGAAACATTGTATGGGCCGATTCAACCGTTGGGGAGCGTACGCGTCTAACCGTAACACTGTTCGCTTAGTCGTTGGAGATGAGAAACACAAAGGTTAGCAGTCAAATATGGCGGCACTGAAACCTATTCCTTGAAATAGTTCATACCCTGTTTAGCCACGCAGGTGCACAACAGCTATCGCTGGTCTCACGCGAATATTGTGTGCGGTAAACTTATTTTATTTCGCTTCGTGCGTTTTCTACATGCACAAGCTGAAGTAACATTGTGTAGCCGAGAAGCGCGAAGTCGTGATAGGCCCAACACTTAGTAGTGATGTCATCGACGCGTTTTGTGCTCAAAGAAGTAAGTGGCGAGGAGGAGCTAGCGGCTGGAGGAAGCGTGGTGGTGCGAGAAGGAAACCACTCTCTCGTTTTTGATCCAGGAATGGTTTAGGGTCCCATTAATTCTTGTTTTTGACGTGGTACAGCGACCGTTCTTCGCCTCGCTTCCGAGGAAACTCGGCTCGTAAGACATATTCGAAGTCGGGTACGACGCATACCTCTTCCCTGTGTCGAATACAAGTGCCGGATGGCGGCCGACGTGCCGTGTCAAGAGAATCGTCAGGATGGGAACCCAACATGGCATCCGGAGACAACGCAGACACGCCCACTCTGTGCGCCTCAAGTAAGCAACATCTTGTATCACTTAGAAAACGACAAGCAGAGCGATCAGAGTACAGACGGACGAATGTTGATCACCTTTGTCTTGTCCTGTTTTTTTTTTATGGGCGTTTACCGACTAGCCCGAATAATTACTCTGTCGTAGGCGTGTGCATGAAGGGGGCAACGGGGGCGATCGACCCCTTCTCTCCCACCCCCACCTTTAATGATACGAAGGGGGGCGAGGGCAAATGCATGCGGCAGAGTTTGCTCTTCCCCTCCTGGGGTAATTTAGGGATGCATTGTACCCAGAGACCCCGACAGCAATTTCTGTGATACACGCTGCACGCAGGACGCAGTGTTTGCAAGCTCAACCGATTTGTCTCGTTTCGATAATGTTCATTGCAGCGGAGCTGGCTTGCTGATGTTCGGCGACGAGACAATAAAATAAAAATATAATTCATACATGTCAGTCCTTACGTGGGAGACACCCGCTACGCGCTAAGCGCGTCCTGCAGGGCGAAAATAAAGTCTTTTTTTTCTCATTCCATTACACTAATACACGTAGGGAGAGACTGTTGTGTGGAGAGTGCTAACACTGCATACAGAGAAAACAATTGTGCCCCATTTGCGATGTCTTAGAATTGTTGCTGCATTCTTTTAAGAGGGCCTCCTCCCCTTCTTGGTAGGCTTCAGGCTCAAAAATTTAGGGGTTTGGTGGCCCCCTGGAAAAGCCGTTGCGGTTCCCCATCGCCATAAAGTTTGAGAACACCTGTTTTACGGTACTGTCTTAAATAACCGTGCACAGCTTGCTAAACCCGCCGTGAGCACTCTTATGAAAGGTCTGACGACCTGACTGTTATGAAAGGTCTAACAGTCTCACTGTATGTGTTTTCGGCACCATCAGCTTTAGTATCGACCATTTTGTGTCACTGTAGTGAGACACGAGGAGCATGCATACGCAGAAACGTTGCTTTTTTTTTTGTAAATGACGTGCCTGATTGTTGAAAGAGATAAGATAAATGCTGTCGTGATCATGGATCGTGTCATGATAGACTCCTCTTTATTTTTTCTTTGTTTACTCCGGAAAGGTGCAGGTGTTACCCGTTGGAGCCTGCGCAGAAGCGTGGCAATCGTATGCTACCACAGCGCATGTGCAGTAGTGTCCTGTGGCGGAGCGTTTTCTTTTCAATTTTTTTTTTCACGTTTGGCGATTGTCGCACTTTGCACATTCATTTGGACAAAAAATTTTTAGCTGGTAGGTTGCCAGGCAGCCGAACTAGCATGCAGGGCCTACTGATATTGCTCTAGTTGCTCCAGTATGGAAACACTTGTTTCTCCTGGCCGCACATTCGCATCGGGCAGCGTCAAAACATGTTCAAATGAGCTGCACCCTATAGAGTCCCTAAACAACCTTTCGCCTCGCCATGGTGGTCTAGTGGCTAAAGTGCTCAGCTGCTGACTCGCAGGTGGAGGGATCGAATCCTAGCTCGGGTGGCTGCATTTCCGATGGAGGCGGAAATGTTGTAGGCCCGTGTGCTCAGATTTGGGTGCACGTTAAAAAACACGTTGAAAAGTGCGTTCGCGGGACGTGAATAAAAAAATGAGCTGTGGAACGACCTAATTTTCGAGATACCAGAGCCGTGTCTCCTATGTTGCTTTGCCACGCAGTCGCAGCCCACTCTGCCTTGCTTTACATGAAGTTTGATGCTAGCGTCGCATGGCTTTGGTTTCTGTTGCCGACGTGTTTCCCCTGCATGCCGCCGTTCTATGCAAGCATACCGAGGTATTACTTCGGCAACAGCGCCCAGCATCAGACAAACTATTCCAGGTCATGCTTCGGGGCGCTAATGTTAAGGTTGCTGACGACTTTATGTAAGCAGCTGCATACTCGGTTGAAGCGGTGACTGATTTATTGGTTATTGCATAGCGCCTTTGAAATGGGTGGCCTTTTAACGCACGTAGTGATTGCGAGATTACCGTTCACGTGGCGCAATGCCTGGTTGTGAATTAACGCTTCTTACACGCCGTATAAAATATCGAGTTTCGAGCACTATGGTAGCTCTCGAGTAGAAGACTTGAGTGCCGCGCATGATGCCCGTGCTTCTTTATCGAACGCCCAATTTTAGTTATTTGCAAACATTGGAATTTTTCGGTCTCGGTAAAAGCCGCAACTCCGACCCCGGAATTTCTGTATGACGGAGTTTTTGACCGTCTCACGTTATTTGGTGAAACCCAATTTTTAACGCGCTGCGTCTACGTTACAAGGATATGAATGACCTTTTTTTTCTGTGTATTGTTTGTTTATTGTCACTAAACCTCCCTTTTCATTTTGTAAAGCCATTTATTTGGTTAAATTATCGTTTATGTATGGTTATGCTCATAATTACCCAAAAATATTTCGAACTTTTGTCTTCCACGATATTGATCAAATCGTTACTATTGGATTCAGCAATATCATTCAGACAGACAATAGATAGATGAATCAAACGGTGTTCCCACGGGAACGTTCATTGTGTCCGCTTGTTTCATTATTACTCGGCTTGTTGGTTTTCTCTCTTTATATGCAGCTAAAATTTTTTATATAAAATCATAGCATTAACTAAAGGAACGAGAATTCAGAGGTAAAATTACCCTCAAATCCACAAATACATTACTTGAGAGAGCGACCAACGTCCACTACGAAGTCGTTGCCATACACACACACGCAACGGGAAGCAAATGAAACCCTTAAAAACTCTGCCTCACAAACTTAAGCTTTCCCTTCATGTCTACTCTGTTACACTGTTCTAACCAGTTTTTTTTTTCTAGTGAAATATGCTGTCTTTAACTCCAACGTCGCAGTGACTCCTGTCGCCTGAACTCCTCCCGCCATCTTTGTTCTTTCTATCAGCTCGTGCACAACAGCTCACGAGTAGAATGCATCGTCGTCACTATAATCACTTAGTGCCGAGTGGATGAGCAGCCCACCGTCTACAGCACATGCCTCTTGGTCTGACAACAACAACAACAACAACAACAACAACAACAACAACAACAATAATAATAATAATAATAATAATAATAATAATATTAATAATAATAATAATAATAATAATAATAATAATAATAATAATAATAATAATAATAATAATAATAATAATATCTCTTAGACATGGGTCAAAAACAGTTACATGCCACCGAGATGCGGCAAAAGGAAGCGGACGTAACTGTTTCCGGACTAGGCCTACATCCCGACAGATTAAATCCTAGATGTGCCATTACTCCGCTCCATAGGGAATTATTTTCATGGGCTTGACCACAAATAGTTTCAGCTGGACTTCATAGAGATGGTAATTTGATGAGTGTGATTGGGCGGAAACAGAAAGCAAATAGTGTGGGCAACGATAGCCGGTGATGGTGATAGCTTTCTGTATAAGCTTGTGGCCAGTTGTGCAATACGTAAATGAGAGAGTGGAAGTGAGCGAAAAGCGCAGGAAAACGTAGTAACAAAAGCTCCACTTGCTGAAAAATATACCCGCCCGTACCAGCCAATATGGTGGAGTTTGGGCTCGACGAAGGAAGGCTCATGGTGTAATAAGAAACAGCCTAATGAGAAACGTATTTCGCAAGAAAGTGAAAATTTTATTTACTGTTGCTTTGGTACTTCCAATATTTTGACGTTCGGCTAATTCGAACACTTTTCAGGTACCGCGAAATACAAATTGTTGAGCTTTTAGTGTATTTTTTAATAAATATCATTGGGTGTAATGACTCAATCGAAAGGTAATGATTTTTATGTGCTGCCATGAGGTCTCCTTTGAATAGTACACATGCATATTCCCAGCGGGGGCCTGGCCGCTTAGCATATACGGCATTCTAATGACGAAATCGAAGGTAATTAGTTTAGTTTGCGGCTTGCATCGCTTTCTTTCAATGCTAGCTATTGACTCTATGCTACTACATGTCTTCGTCAGAGTTCTATACATTAAGCATTGGTTACCGAAAAATGTTTTGTGGTTATTGCATAACGTTGGCTCTAGTGCTAAGCAATATGGGGGTGGAGAACAATCAAATGACTATGCTATGAACATACCACTTGCGGTCAAGGCGCTTGCAACATCGGCTGTGTAATGAATAACTTCTTCTGCCGACGTTAGACGGAGACGACCCTGTTTATTGCCAATACTGCCTGAAGAAATGCGCGTGTCCTTCATGCAAAATCGGTTTCCGCTTTGTCGAGAGTCTGCCGCGCTTCAAACTGAACAGCTCCGCCTGATTTTGCAACATCCTTTCAGGCGGGCATTTTTCGTTCACGACGGTACCGCCAATTGTCTCGTCAACGTTATCACAATAATAGGTCAATCGCATAACAGACGAAATGCTTTGACGCAAGAGAGTTGGCGTTCCATCTGTTCCTACGCATTGTCTGCTGGATGGCATACGAGCCCACTTTTGACTGTAAGGCTATTATTTTGGTTAGAATATCATTTCGGCGTGTTTAATCTTATAGTTAGGCTTTTAAAATTGCAAAGATTACTTCGAGCGATGTCGATGGATTTTCACGAGATTCAGCAGCGTAATTAAGATAGACCATGCACGTTTGATGATTGTGTTAAGAGAGAGAGAGAAAACTTTATTTGCGCATAATGCGGAGCATTCTGAATATTGTGTTCTTACTAAAATGTCTGAGGTCTCCGTGTGTTTCAATAATACCCAGCTGGTTTGGCTTTTTCGCCCTGTGAAAGCGTCAACGACAGGCAATCTGGAAAAATCATGGCACTAAGTAGAGCATCGACAATTTCAACATAACGTAACACAAGTGGATGAATACTGTACTTCACAGAGAAACGTACACTACGAACTCGCAGCAGCACAAACACAAACAGAAAGAAACAAATTAAGTGTTCAAAAGTAGTGGTTCATAAACTGTTCCATCACTTTAGGTCTCATGTCACATCTCTCTTGTTAGATTGTCATGACGTAAGATTTTCGTAAGGAAGTATGCTGCCCTTAACTCCTATGACACATCGGATTCCTTCTTCTAAGCTCCTCCCATCATATTTGTTCTTTCTATCAGCTCGTTCAAAACAGCTCACGAGTAGAATGCATCGTCGTTACTATAGTCACTGAATGCCGAGTGAATAAGCAGCCCACCGTCTCCAGCGCATGCCTCCTGGCCCGACAGTTTCAGCTCTGATCCGGACACCAGCTTGTACCCCGAGTCACCGGCTTCCTGCGCCCCCGCTGAAGCATCATCGCTGCACCGGCCGCACATCCGGTACGCAGCGCAGGCTACGAATCCCAGTGCACCAATGTACAGCAGCAAAGCCATCATGTGCCACGTGAACACGCTGGCCGCGAGCATCATGTCCATGTGGCTGTGGACGTCCCAGGCAGGATGTGCCGGGAGAGGGCTGTACAGGATGAAACCGACCTGCCAGAACCACGTCGCCTGCAAGAGGCAAAAGTAGGCCCGACCTAGGGACGCGAAAACGCTCCGTGGACGGCACATCTCGGCTATGATACAGGCCGCCTCGGCCGCCACGGTGTAGACCAGAAGCGTGTGGACAAGTACGTCCAGGTGGGGCCTACCGTGCAGGTGGAAGTAGAACAGAAGGCCCTCTACAGTGACGGCCAGCAGGAGCGTGACGTAGTCTGTGTGAGGCGGGAATGGAAAGCCGCAGTTTGTCATGACGTCCACGAGTCCGCTGAGCAGGTAGAAGAGGTACATGGAGACGTGCTGGGCGTTGCCCATCTCGGTGAAGTGACCGTGCTCGAATGCCTTCGCCACCTCGCCCATGACGCCGATGGAACAGGTAACGATTTTGGCGATGCCTTCGAAGCAGATGCGCCGGGTAGCGCACGGCATTTCTTACCAGGCTCGGCACGTGTACCGCCGCTTGTGTTCCCGGCTGCGGACGTAGTTGCGCCAGGCGCCATAGGCCCACCACGTTCCCAGGATGAAGAGGAAAGTGCCGGGCAGGGCGTGTCCAGCAAAGGACCCCATGGTTTGGGCAGTCTGTGGCTCTTCTACAATTCACTTGTTCTGCAATGAGTGATGTAATAAGTTTGACCGTTGAGCTAAAGCTAAAAGCGTCTCGTATTCTCTGCGGGAAATATATAGACAAAGCTTGAATGAAAGAAGCAGGGGGGATGTACCGTGCTCAGAAATATTAACCGGGTCGTCCTGCTACCCAAGTGTCATGGCGATCATTGCGTTTGACCAATACGAATAAAAAAACATACATAAAACATACAATATAGGGATTTATATGTGTGGGAGCTCCAAGCATAAATAATAATTACAATAATAATATTATTACTCTCTATTTGGCATGTGTCAAAAATAGTTACATGCCACCGAGATCAGTCAAAAGGAAACAGATGTAACTGTTTCCTTACTAGGCCTACATCCCGACAGATTAGGCTTTAGATGTGCCGTTACTCCGCTTCACGGGGACTTATTTTCGTGGAATTGGCCACGAATGGTTTGAGTGGGACATGATAGAGATGGTAATCCGATGAGTGTGATTGGGCGGACGCAGAAAGCAGATAGCGTCAGCAACGATAGTCGGTGATGGCGATAGCTTATTTCAGTATAAGCTTGTGGCCGGGTGTGCAATACGTAAAGGAGAGAGTGAAAGAGAGCGAGGAGCGCAGGAAAACGTAGTAACAAAAGCTCCAATTGCTGAAAAATATACCCGACAGTAACAACCAATATTTGGAAGTGTGGTCTGGGCAAAGCAAGGCTTACAGTGTAATTAGGACACAGCCTAATAAGAAACTTACTTCGCAAGAAAGTGAAACCTTTATTTATTGTTGCCTTGGTACTTCCAATAATTCGACGTTCGGCTAATTTGAACACATTTCCGGTCCCATGAAATATAAATAATGAGCTTTAGTGTAAGTTTATAATAAATATCAGTGGATGTAATGACTCAATCGAAAGGCAATAAATTCATGTGCTGCCATCAGGTCTCCTTAGGTAAGTACACCTGCACATTCCCAGGGGGGGCCTGGCCGCTCAGCACCTATGGCGTGCTAATCACAAAATTGAAGGTAATTAGTTTGGTTTGCGGCTTGCATCGCTTTCTTTCAATGCTGGCCCATTGACTCCTTCCTACTACATGTCTTTGTCAGAGTTGTAATAAGCATTGGTCACCGAAACAATTTTTTTGTAGTAAGTGCATAATATGGGTTGTAGTGCTAAGCAGTATGAAGATGGAGAATAATGAACTGACTATGCTATGAACATATTACTTACGGTTAAGGCGTTTGCAGCATCGGCTGTGTAATGAATAACTGCTTGTTCCGACATTACCCGAAGACGACCCCGCTTATAGCCAATACTGCAGGCTAACTGCTATCCCGCAGAAATGAGCATGTCCTTCATGCAAAATCGGTTTCCACTTTGTCGAGAGTCTGCCATGCTTCAAACTAGACTGCTCCGCCCGATTTTGCAACATCCTTCCAGGCGGGCCAAGATAAATCGCACACGTCGAGGATGCAGCCTGAGCGGTGATAATGCCGCCACAACACTGATCTACAAGCTCGCTGGTGTCGTTTCCGCATTCGAGTTCCCGGGTGCTGGTGATGACGAATCTTTCGTTGCAGTGCAAGAGCAATCATGAGCCGCGATGTGAAAACACGACAAATTTCACCAAAAAAAAAAAGTCTCCACTGTACATATGTCTGGCTTGTCTAGTCATAGAACTTGCTATTTATGCATAGCCCTATTAAGACGATGGCGTGCAGTACACTACCATTCATAAATACTCAACTATATTGACGTTTTGGATGCCAGTCAAGTCAGCCGCTTCACTATGAAAGCACAAAAAAAAGGAGATGCATGCTCTAGCAACCTTCCTTAATTCTAGCTCCACAACAAAAGTTTGTGATCGCTTCAGTTGTAGCGATTACAGGGTGAAGCAGTCGCTAGAACAAGAGAATGGCGTGCACTAGCCTTCCTGCAGATTTAGAGAATTTCATTTCGCGTGTCTGAAAATCAAATGCCCTAATGCAAAACAACGGGAATAAATTCGAAAGTACTGCGTACTTGTCGCAATGCCCGCACCAGGCTTTCTGTGTGGTCATGCCTACACTACACATTTGACCTAATGAACTCATATTCTGGGCCAGCGCGAAAAATGTGCAGTGATGGAAGTGTTGCTCCAATTGCTCCAAACTGCTCCAAAAGGAAATGCTTCTTTATGCTGCTCCAAAATTCAATATTTGCTAGTAACTGCTCCAAACCAGCTCCGAAAGGATGTTGGCAAACTAAAAAGAATGAAGTTGAACCATGGAACCATCCTGTGAGCCTAAGCGAAACCAAAAGGAAGCTGTACACACTATCATCCTAGCATGCTACTCAGTGATGTAAATCCAGAAAAATCACAAGGGGTGACATATATTAGGCCATGGTGGCCAATTCGTATTTTTACTATAGGGTTGCATTTCTATTTATGTAAGCATTGAATCATGATTTCAAATAGTACTTTAAAAATGAGCACGGGGTCCGAGCTCGGGTACTTGCATTGTTCTACTCAGTATCTTTTCTTTTTACCTTTCTGCTAATTTCTCTAGTTCACACAGCTGAGGGGCATTTAACACAGGTACACAGTACCAGATAAAAAGCTTTTTAAAAAGCTGATTTTGCTATACTGAACTGTACAGTCAATTATATCACGTGCTAAAGCTAAATCTCAAAGGGGGTACTTGCGATTGCTGTCCTCCCCTGCTGAGCATAAGAAAAGTCCGTACCTCTTTGACCCCCCTCCACCATTATTTACGCCAATGATACTTACAATACGGTGTGTGTAATAATAAATATGAATATTTATTAGATGCTTAAGTCATGTTTTATACTGCAGGAGTTATTAGGAACATGCATCTGAGTCGAAAACACCAATGACAACACAGCGCTATAGCATTTTGTTTCTGCTCCGAGGGCACATAAGCCTGCTCCAAAGCACCATTTTTTCTGCTCCAGAATCTGCTCCAAAAAGCGAAATGTCGCGTCCATCAGCTGAATGTGTTAATAACAAATTTAATTTCTACATAGCAAATCAGGGTGTACTGCTGCAGGGAAGAAGTTGACAAGCAATTCAGGATAGCTGGTCGGTGGTCGGAACATGCAGCCAGTCATCTAGCCACTTCTGAAGCTGAACTTCAAGAAAGCTCTTAGAGCACCTAAAAGACTTGGTATAACAGCCCCGCCTCACGGCAAGCGAAGCAGTCCGCTGACCTTAACTCTGCTGGGGGTTGCTGGCGGATGCACCAGAGTACCAGTGCCTCCAGGATCTGGGACAATTGAGGAAATACACAAGAGCAACAAGACAGACGTACTGAATACCATCTACCAGTGGGTCTCAAGTCACAGTAATTAGAAATTATGTTCTCGCCCATCCGCTTTGAAGATACTGAGTATAGAGTACATAACTTAGGCAAGACCAAAGCCGAAAATCACGAAAAACTTCGTCATGTCTTCATACATAAGCTTAGGTTGCCACGGACCCCTCGAATTTGCCAACTTAGCGAGCAGTAGCCACCAGTGGCAACCCTGGTTGCCCAACAGGCAGCCTGTCTGGGTTTGGGTCAAGTTGCGCAGGTAGGGAATCACCACCTTGTGGCCAGTAATGTCGATGACACGCGTGGCCTCGATAAGCGTCGACCTACTCACCTAGCGTAATAGCCTCTTCCCGATCCCCGCTATCGGTGATGGTGTCGTCAACATGACGCTTCATTCCTTTGATGTTTATGATGCCTTTCTCCATTTCACAAAGGTGGTGGTGTCTGTCCTGGGTTCCAGAACGCGTCCCATTGTTCCCGATGGCGTCAAGACACGACATTAGGTATACCGCGATGTCCTTTACAGAGCGCTGACTCAAGACTAGCAGTGTGCTAGGCAGGGAGCAATTGTAGAACATAAAAGGGTCATCCACCATCCATCGATAGGTGGTGTCGGTTGCTGTTGTACTTCCGCTAACGTGATCTATGTTATTCCTAAAGGAAAAGAAGAGAAAAGTGAGCCCCGTAACTGTCTGCTTCCGAGTGCAGCACCTCAACAGTGGCTCACAAGGGATGGTGGTAAGGAGGGAATAAAAGGATAGGATTAAAGGTATATAGAGAGAGAGGAAGGAGAGAGCGAGGTGCAGGGACAGCGAGCGACGGAAGTAAAGAAGAGATAGGAAAGATGGGCACGGTCGCAGAGTCCGAGGACGGGGCACCACTCAGCGAGAGCTCATGTCGGCAGTAGGAGATGGCGTAGGGAGAGCCCAGTCCACTAGAGCTGCGCTGTCGTCGGAGATCGCTGGGGCACAACCGGTCAGCACGAAATCCAAAGAGTGAGTCCTATTTTCCCAGTGGTGAATTTCCCATTGGGTATACCATTTGATGACGACTCGTATCTCTTTTAGATGCCATGTATTTGGTCGAAAGCTGTTAGCTACGTTGTACTCGCATTTGATAAGCAGGTGTTAAATGTTTCGGTTGTGTGGTGGGCTTCGTGACGCTGCATATTGCTGGAATCGATGACGCTTCCTAAGACCGCTGATCAGGTATAATTGGCAGCGGAGTCGCACAATTGACATGCTCGTGCCGATTAACCTTTCTGACTACAATAAATGAATGAATAAGCATATTTAAATTTTGAAGGTCGTAAAGAAGAACGAAGCGGAGCTTAAGGTCATCAGGCCTGACATTGCTTCGCTACGTGAAATGTTCAAAGCGTCCAGCAAGCAGTGCTATATCGAATAATAATTCTTAATATGTATGGGGCATCAAAGAATAACAGAACGCAAGGCGACTACTTAGATTCATCTTGTGGGGCTTTAATTAATCGTCGGAATAAAGTGAGGATCAAATCCGCATGTACCAGAGCGGGAGTGCTTGAACAGTGACTTTTTTTTTAATAACCATGATGTGAAGCACTTCACAATAGTTATTTCAGTGTGTTGAATAAATATTTACCCGTATCGCAACATTCTACCGTATAAGAAAACTTAATAATGAATTTCGCCTCTTAGAAATGATGCATTGTGCCTTGAAAAAAGCTCTGTTGTATTCATGTAGATCCCACAAGGCCAGTATTGCCTTTAAGGTTTTCTGAAAAAGAAAAACCACCAATCAGGAGTAGGTAATCACAGGAACACTTCTGGTCTCGTCAAACGTGAGCCCCTACTATATTGTTACTCATTAAATGCTGAAGTGACTTTCGCCATGTTTTATTTACACGCAAAGCCTGGTTTCCGTTTGGAGCTACGTTCGTTATTCAACTCACCAGTGCTTCATTTAAAATTATTTTGTGTCGATACATTATCTTGATATTGGTACAATGGTGAGAACTTCAGCAGCCAATGCGTCAAAGGTCAAACTTCTTATTTCGCAAGCATGCGATCAACAAAGCGAGTAACGTTCATACTAAAGCTACGTCACCAAGCAATACCAACTGATTACTAACCGTAATGATTAAATATCGTCCTCAGCATGATATGCCATCGTTATTTCATCTGATTGTTTTTTCAGCCCTTATAATGCCATGTTTTGTCAACGTTTCTTTTCAGTCGACAACACACAAAACATTAACATTCGGCAGTATTTTGTGTTTCAACCTCAAGGTGCAAGAGGTGCTCGAATGCTGACTCGAGGGTCGCAGGATCGAATCCCGGCCTACAGCGGCCACATTTCGATGGAGGCGAAATCTTCGAGGACCATGTACCTATATTCAGGTCCACGTTAAAGAACGCCAGACGCCAAAATTTCATAAACCATCTACTAAAGCGTTCCTCATAATCGTCGTGGTTTAGGAACGTGAAGTTTTAACAAGCCTGACCGACCGCCTTGTAATTAGTGTGCCCCTAAATCGCCCAAATGTTTTCACGATTTTTATGGTGTGGCGCCTGGTGTGGTTGTACGCTTTCGCCACGCAATATTAAACCTGTTAACGAGGCTATTTATTTATTTAGCAGTGAGGCTGTTCTTGGTCGCGCTTTCGTGTCCGGGGATGGTCGTGCATCGTATATTGCTGTGTACGCACACGAATTTCTGAATACAACTACAGATATTGGCCCCTCCTCCAGTCCCTACCACTCTTCCCCACTACGCCCACTGCTGCTTCCGCCACTCCTTCAACTTTAGTTACCCACTTCCTGGCACTTAATTTCCACTTTATTCCCAATTCATTTAACTTCATTAGACCCAGTTTATTCAACTCCACTGCACACCACCAGCTTGTGTGTTTTTTAATCAAAGTCGGCCAAGCACAGGTAGTTAAATTTTTCGACACAAAAACATTTTATCCCGTCGCCAAACAAGAATTTAGTGACGCATTCTCATTACGGAAAAGACATCGAAAAAAAGGCGAATGATTAATTCCATCACCTGGAGTCAAAACTATGGCCAGCTCGTTCACGAAAAACGCAGCCGAGAACGCTATCGATTACAATACAGTCCCATAATGTGGACCCCTCTGCAAACGCACCTTTTGCCCTCGCGTTTCTTTCACAGTGATTTTGGCCGGAGGTGAAATAACGAATCGTTACTTTGGTCACCGTGATTAGCTCCTGCAACACGTCGTTGATAAGCGTCCGTCCAATTCTGCACGTGTCCGACATTATAGTAACATGTTATCAGAGCCTTAACACACAGTGAAGTGATCACCTTAGCCCAAGCGTTGACCTGGCCCATAGTATCCATCCACACTAAAAATGGCTCCGCAGCTGCCTCTCCTTGCTGTAACATGGCGTTCCATGCTTGCGCTCACGCCTAGAATATACCGGGTGGGCTGCAGAGGAGACAAAACGTTTCCCTGTAGTCCAACCATCAGGCCGCGAAATGCTAACCTTATATAGCCCAAGCTCTACGTCCAATCAGCGACACTGTTCTGGCTGACAAAGAGTTTCATTTCATAACGCTTTCACCGTTAACTACTACAGCTACGACAATGGGTTGTTTAATTATCCATGATGGACGTTAGTCACCGGGATTGCCTCAGATTTGGGTGCACGTTAAGAACCCCAGGTGGTCGAAATTTCCGGAGCCCTCCATTACGGCGTCTCTCATAATCATATGGTGGTTTTGGGACGTTAAACCTCACATATCAATCAATCAATCAATCAATCAATCAATCAATCAATCAATCAATCAATCGAGTCGCCAGGATTGACATTTACCACCAAGCGTCAACGTGGTGTATTTACGTTAAACGGTGCTACAGCTGCGAAACACAAATAGACATTGCGCGAGCTCTTTTATCTCTTTCATGCACGCAACTTCATTTTTGGCAAAAAAGCCTTTTATTGAAAAATGCTGAACTCTTTCGCAGAGAATGACTTTCTCACAATAACGAAAAAAAATGGCAGTTTAGTTTAAAAGTTATGAAGCGGTCACCTGAATTGACCACCTTGTAGGGAGGGTCTACTGGTGACTTTCGGTGAAAGGTCACAAAGCAGTGATCCTTTCTCCGCAGGAGCAAAGTGGCATTGTGTATAGCGCAAATTCACCTCAATTTTTAGAGCGCTTGTATACACTTTGCAAAACAGCTCCATTAAAACGATACAAAAAAATATATCATCACCCCTTTAAGGGTTTCATGCAGGCTTATCACCTCAGGGGGTCAAATTCTAGGACGTGATACTAAGTATATTGGTCGAGTACATCTTTTAATTTCTATATTCCTTAGTATTAGCAACTTGGATGATATGATGGCTGACTCTATTAAGCTAATATTACTGCAAAACATAAGTAGTACACTCACTATGAGTGCTATATTCGGGTTGGCACAATAAAGGCGATCTGCTGGACAACGCACAACATCGATATTAGGAATCTCACAATTCACAAAAAGTTCCAACGTCGACAATATGTATTGCCGGGTTCTGGTGACGGCTGGCTGGGAACACCTGAGAGATGATACCGAGGCACCAAATAACACATCTTTACTCATCAAAGCCTTAGCCACGATGATGATGGTAATGATGATCAAGCTATCTTCTTGTTGGTGGTGTTCTTTGATGTGTCAGCGGCTGCTCAGAGCGCCATTGTTCATCCCATTGTTCATCGTTCTCTTTTTCTATGGCCGGCGCGCCTACAGCCGCTGCTCCCTCAATATCTGTCACCAGCCTACTAAGACCCTTTAGTAACGGTGGTCAACCCAGGTGACCACCAACTTCGTTCACATGACGCTCTGGATCAACCGAGTAGAGCAGTTTATTTCTAAATTTCTTAGCGTTACCTAATTATAAAACATACTCCCGTATACTATCAATCTAATAGGAACAGAAGATAGGTTTATATCTTTAAAAATATCTCGGGTCCATCATCTAGTGCGCCTTGATGACGATAGCAGCCGGGAGAAAGTAAACGTAAAATTTAACACATTGAAGCCCAAACGTATACATAGTAGTGTCAGCTTTACCAGATTGTCGAAAGCTTCAAAAAATGCGCCATTGGAAATCCGACAACCTGGTATCACGTTTTAAAGAGGAAAAATTGAAGACGATGTGGTTAGCTGGGGTACCAACAGTGCTGGAAAGAGTTATACTATTCTATAGTAAACATTCGAGCATTTCTATGAGGACGCGTTTTTTTTTTCATAAGGATTCCTATATGATAAATGGATCAACCATGTTTTTTTAATAAAACATTTCCTCCACTATGCATAAGGCATTCGTATAGGTCTTTGATGTCAAGCAGATTCAAGCAACGGCGAGGATATCCTGTATGATAGCCCACTGCCAGGCATAATGCGTTGGTCTGATTCTTGCTCGAACCCATATTTTTGATCATTTTACCACACAGCGGCATTTTTCGTTCATGGCAGTGTCGCCAACAGTCTCGTTAACGTCGCAATAATAGGTCCATCGCACAACTCGCGAAATGCTTTGACGCAAGAAAGTTAGCGTTTCATCTTTTCGTACGCCTTGTCTGGTGGATGGCATATGAGCCTACTTTTTCACTCAAAGGCTATTAGGTCGGTTAGGATATCATTTCGGCGTGTTTATTCTTATAGTTAGCCTTTTGAAATTTCAACGTTTACCTCGAGTGATGTCGATCAATTTTCACAGGATTCAGCAACGTAATCAAGACAGACCATCGACGTGTGAATTAGGTGTTTCTAATAAAACTTATGCGGTCTCCATGTGTTCCAATAATTTCTAGCTGGTCTGGCTTTTTTCGTCCTGTGTGAGCATCAACGAAGGGCAATCTGCGAAAATCATGGCACAAAGTAGAGCAGCGACAATTTAAACATAACGTAACCTCCGTGGATGAATACTTTACTCAACAGAGCAACGTTCACTACAACTTGCAGCAGCGCACACACAAACAGAAAGAAACAAATTAAGTCCTAAAAAGCTCTGGATCACAAATTGTTTTATCACTTTAGGTGTCACTTCACATCTCTGTTGTTAAATTGTCATGAAGTGAGATTTTCGTACTGAAGTATGCTGCCTTTGACTCCGATGACACATCATTCTTCTAGACTCCTCCCACCATCCTTGTTCTTTCTATCAGCCCGTGCACAACAGCTCACGAGTAGAATGCATCGTCGTCACTATAGTCACTGAGTGCCGAGTGAATGAGCAGCCCACCGTCTCCAGCGCATGCCTCTTGGCCCGACAGTTTAAGCTCTGATCCGGACACCAGCTTGTACCCCGAGTCGCCTGCTTCCTGCGCCACCGCTGAAGCATCATCGCTGCATCGGCCACACATCCGGTACGCAGCCCAGGCTACGAATCCCAGGGCACCTATGTACAACAGCAAAGCCATCATGTGCCACTGTGAACACGCTGGCCGCGAGCATCATGTCCATGTGGCTGTGGACATCCCAGGCCGGATGTGCCGGGAGAGGGCTGTACAGGATAAAACCGACCTGCCAGAACCACGTCGCCTGCAAGAGGCAAAAGTAAGCACGACCTAGGGACGCGAAAACACTCCGCGGTCTGCACATCTCGGCGATGATACAGGCCGCCTCGGCCGCCACGGTGTAGACTAGAAGCGTGTGGACAAGTACGTCCAGGTGGGGCCTACCGTGCAGGTGGAAGTGGAACAGAAGGCCCTCTACAGTGACGGCAAGCAGGAGCGTGACGTAGTCTGTGTGAGGCGGGAATGGAAAGCCGCAGTTTGTCATGACGTCCACGAGTCCGCTGAGCAGGTAGAAGAGGTACATGGAGACGTGCTGGGCGTTGCCCATCTCGGTGAAGTGACCGTGCTTGAATGCCGTCGCCACCTCGCCCGCGACGCCGATGGAACAGGTAACGATTTTGGCGATGCCTTCGAAGCAGATGCGCCGGGTAGCGCACGGAATTTCGTACCAGGCTCGGCACGTGTACCGCCGCTTGTGTTCCCGGCTGCGGACGTAGTTGCGCCAGGCGCCATAGGCCCACCACGTTCCCAGGATGAAGAGGAAAGTGCCGGGCAGGGCGTGTCCTGCGAAGGTCCCCATGGTACTGGCTGTGTGCAACTCTGCTACTTCTCACTTGTCCTGCAATGAGCGATGTAATGAGAAGTGTGACCACTACGTTATGGCCGGAAGCAGCTCGTAATCTGTGTTAATTAGATACAGACAAGGTTTTAGGTGAAGGAGGAGCACCGTGCCCTCAAATCTTAATGGAGGTGTCTTCCACGTGCCATGACGATCAATATATACACATATACAAATATAAACAAACAAACAAACAAATAAACAAACAAACAAACCTAGAGGCATACGAGGTAAGAGCATATATAAGTGGGAGCTCTTATCAGATGCCTGAAGTCCGGAATATCCCACTACACTCCATTGAACGAAAGAAGGGTACGTTTAAGGCATCGTCTTATCTTTGGTAGACACAATAATAATGAGATCTAATACACTCATGCCAAGGAATGCATAAGAGATGTTATTAGAAGTGAACAGGGGGGGGGGGGTGTAGACACTGCAGTAGCTCAGCTGGTAAAGGTAGTGTTATTCGATGGTCGCAGGTTTGGTCCTTAACCACGGCAAGGTATTTTAGCAGCTTGCTGCTCTGTATGCTAGAGCCTTTTCCATCCATTCCACTGTAGTGGCCATGCTCTCTCTGGAGCAAATGACAGGTTCAGAATAGAACGCGATGCGCGCCTCTCTCTTCCCTGAGAGGGCATGCTGGGCAAGCGATGCTACGCTAGCAAAACGCGAGCTCCCACGTGGAATGCCACCAACGCTACCAGCGTCCATTTTGCACCCCATAGTTGGCACCGTTCCAAGGCACGGGTTACTTGCGACTTCCGGTCGAATCCGCTAATTTTAGCGGAATAGAGTAGAAGCAGGAGACGTTGCAACAAACATGCGTTATAATAATAATGATGAGAATGATATGTGTGTGGGTTTAACGTCCTCGACCCTTCACTGCCCGTGATATGGCACGTCTTTGTATGACGGTCGAGAGGATGTACGGGGGATTAACGGTTTACCAGAATGTACCTCCGGAGCAAACTCCTTTACCATCATTCACTTCGTGGATAAGGGTTTTTTTTCATCCACTTTTCTTTCTTCACATTTACTTCACAAAACTCCATTGAAACGCTCATTTCGATTGACCAGAAATGATTCGAGTGGGATATGAGAGGCAAAGGATTATTGCGACTATGATTGGATGGACATTTACAGCACACACCACCGGTAACGAAAGTCGGCGATTGGTGTTACAGTAACGTGATTATAAGTATGAGTGTGTAGGTAGAAGAACCGTGTACGTGACCGTGTTAAATAATAAAAGTGAACGAAGATTGCTGGAAAACGCACTGAGGTAGTGCTCTTCAGCGCATGACTTAATGGTAGGAGTGTGGCAGCTTGGGCTAGTTGGTATGGCATGACGATAGTTATAGCGCGAGAACAAAACGACGACACAGAGACCTTTTCGTGTCCTTGTCTCTGTGTCGTCGTTTTGTTCTCGCGCTATAACTATCGTTAATGGTAGGGCCATCTTCCCTTCCGATACGTCACTGTTGTGTTCATGATGGGTAGTCTTCGTTCTAGTCGTCTCGAACTGGCTGGTCGTCTCTTAACTCGCCTTGGCTCGCGTCTCGTTAAGCCTAAACGTCATCATACTTCCCGTCCCAACACACCGATTGCTAAGAGATGTACATGCCCGTGAGAACTTATATAAGAGAAGACTTACGGAGCCCCAGGACAAGCTCGCACTCAGTGCGACTTGAGTACAAGTTTCGAAAGCTGCCGATGTTCAATAAGGAGAGGCCTGTCAGTCAACTTACGTAAGAGAAATACTGGCTGCGGCTCAGAACCGCTCGTTTGCTTGCTTCTTATTATGGCTCCTACCCACTATGGGAGATCGTCTAAGAAGCTTGCGGGTAATGTAGTTGGAAATATTAGTAGGCAAACAATGAACGAAAAATCACATTTTAGAGACAACACTTCGTCACTCTAGCCATCCTGCAAAAGTAGATAAATAAATATTGGAATCGTTCTAATAAAAATATTATTATACCTTGATACGCGATTACGAAATTTGTGTCTTCTGTAGTACCGAATAATTTATGCTGATCTAATGTATTTATCAGCTATAATTATTTGGTACTTGCATTATTGAGACTGCTGCCTTGTGTCAGCAGCGAATTCGCAGCATACGTTCATGTTGTTAAAGCGTAATGCAACAGCTCTCACCGTAATAATATTTTTCAGTACCTTGTGAAATTTGTAAACACTAAATAAAATTCATAAATACTTTTTTGACGTACAAAACGATAAAATACGAATAAATGTGGTCGATATTTTCATGTTCGTTCCCGCTAGCACTTTCTCCAGACCATAATAGTGGCGCAGGCATGGTCTCTTCATCTTTGTCTTCCTTTGTGATGTGATCGAATCCACGCGTATACACGCACAGCTGGCATGGCTAGCAAAGTTGTGGACCACGTTAATCAATCTCGTCTCCGGAAAGTAGTCTAAGCAAATTTTTCTTTAACTTACCCTTAATCACACGTAACTTTACAAAGAAAGTGGAGTAGATAAAATAACAAATACATAGAATGACAAATGTCACAATCGAATAAAATATTAGATTATAAAGCCGTGTAGGGAGTAACCAATGGTGCTTTTTTTTTTTGCAAATGTTCACCCGAATGAAATATTGCATGGGAAAACACCCACTGCTACTATCTAAGGCAACTGAAAGTTCCCTCCTTCCGCAATGATAGTTTTCATATACACTTGCATATAACGTGGCTATCGGGTATGTTCATTCGGAACAAAATGTGAAGAGAAGCAATAATGTCAATTACATTGAGCTCATTAAACATGCATTCGTAAAAAATCGAGAAGAGCCCTCAGCAGGCGTATTTAATTGTCAGATCTTGGAGCAGTCTGTTGTGCCAGTCGGAATAATAGCTTTAGTCAAGAGTCCGAGAGACTCTCGACTAAACTTTAATTCTGCGCTTAAACGAAGTAGCGAAAGGGAAAACATCATGCAGACAAGGAACGCGAAAAGGGCAGCCATAGCACTGGTGCGGTATGAACAGGGTGTGGCCATGGTACAAGTGCTTTGCTGAAGCTGTTTGCCCAATGTGAGACGTGGCGAGACTAGCGTTTCCACTACACCTGTGTGCATATAAAGGCTCTTTAGGATCCCGAAGTCATATTTAAAAAAAGTAATGTTTTATGTTTATTATATATAAGTTGACGCTATATCTGATTGGAAAGCTAATAACTATTGTTGGCTATCTTCTGATATTGTAAGGTTAGTAGACATGAACGTTCAAATGGGCAATACGGTCTGGTGATGCAGCGTCTGTAGTGTCTAGATGGCTCAATTTAGGGTCGTGGGCTCTATTCCCAGCGCATGCCACATCTATTCTATAGGCTTGCTCATTGGCCCCAAAGTATACATGTCTGCATCAGAAATGTATACACTTAGTGGCATTTATTGTTTACATAAACATAATTTTTCGTGTATACAGCAAAATTTGGGCTTAACTGTTAAGTAGTGCCCCGCCGCGGTGGAGTAGTGGCTAAGGTACTAGGCTGCTGACCCGCAGGTCGCGGGATCGAATCCCGGCAGTGGCGGCTGTATTGCCGATGGAAGCGGAAATGTTGTAGGCCCATGTGCTCAGATTTTGGTTCACATTAAAGAACCCAAGGTGGTCGATATTTCTGGAGCCCTCTACTATGGCGTCTCTCATATTCATATGGTGGTTTTGGACGTTAAACCCCACATATCAATCAACTGTTAAGTAGAATGGGGGCGCCGAATATTAAAATGACTATACTTTGAACTTCATGCTTACGGGCAAGGCATTTACAGCAACAGCTGCACTTCCTTTCATCTGGGCGACGCTGACCGTGCGCTCGCGCAAAATTTAGTTGAGTCGATCTGTGCTCTTCAATATGACAAGTCCACAAAGCCAATTGCGACAGTTAAATGAATCGTGATTCGGAAAACACGTAAAAGTGCACTGTTTGTTTCGCTTCAACGTGGAAGTATAGCTACAGTGCACAATAAATGTTTCCATACAACGAAAAATAATGCTGTGAAGATACACGTCGTAAAAGTGGGCATGAGTCGTATACTGTGAGGCGAAGAACAAACATATCCAGCCGACTAGCAAAGGTCAGGCAGTAAATTGTTTCACTCCATGCAAACAAGGGACGGTCTGGAAAGAAAGAAAGAAGCTAATGGATATAAGTGTCGCATGGGATGGCAACAGCTGGAAACAAAGTGTGCAGACATTGATTGCCTCCTCTGAACGGTGCTTCAGCGCTACAGTGTCTTAATTAAGTTTTGACCTCGACATACGGTGGATCTTCTGTGACATAAAGGCTGATCACTGTAGGCCAGCTGCACTTTGAGAAAGAAGTAGGTCACAGCATAGTCACAAACATACTCGTTATGAGCTGACAGTGTGTCACACTGTATCGAGGTTGGGGTTCGGTCAAGGCAGTGTTCGGTGTTTTGCCGGTCAGACCTTGACAGATATGGCATAGAGAGGGAGAAAGAGAGAGCTCTTTATTGAAGAGCCGAGACTTTAGCTGGCGTGTGTGTGTCGCTGACTTGCTACTCTGCGTGTGGAAGGGTATCGGGGACTGAAAGCCAAGAAGGGAGAGAGAAAAAATATTAGGAATTAAAATGAAAAGAAAAAAGTAAAATATACAGACATCTTTCTGTCTCTTGGGCCGAGTCGTGTCTGACAGCATGACTTATTACGAGTTTTCAAGGCGCCCCTACAGTTTGTCTAGCTGACTGATATTGTCTAAATACGTGAATAAACGTTTCATCGCATGCCTCTGTTGCGTGAAGCTCGAGAAAGGACCCAGGACGCAATATAGCCTCATCAAATTTGTCATAGTATTCAGTGAATGAATGATGACGAGTGGGGTGGTGCTCTATGCAGGGAGATGCAACGTCGCACGGATGGACGGACGCATGGACGGATGCATGAACAGACGGATGCACGGAATCATGGGCAGACGGACGGACGGAAGCACGGACGGACTGATGGACGGACGGACACACGGAAGGACGCATGGACGGACAGACAGACAGACTGACAGACGGACTGATGACAGGCGCACTGATGGACGGAAGATTCGCCCCACTCATCCCCATTCAGTCCGTGAATATGCTGTGACACCGTTTTTATTGACCGTTTTATTTTATGCAGTGCAATGCAACTGGCTACTACAACGGCTACGATGACACGGGAAATACACCCACGGCGTAAGGAGCTTCACCCCTAAAAATCGCCTGAGGTGACCTCTAACACGCGGGGACATCGGCAATGGCGCTTTTAATGGACAACTCCACAGCTGGCATATACGGCGTCGAATATTACAAGCACATGCAATCTAGAATATAGTCTCCGCCTTGTGTAGAATCGCACAAAAGTGTACGCCTCAATACCTGACGAACTCTGAGAATACCAGATGTTCTTCGACTCCAGACGGTTTTTGATTAAATGACGTCACACGCTTCGATCAACGCTGCAGCTTGTTGTCGAGCGTAGAGCTTTCTTGACTATTTTTCGCCGCTATTTTCCATCATCTGTACATAATAGTAAAATCGCTACGTCCGCGACATTATTTCGTTGCGGCAACGTGTTGAACAAAACGCAAAATTTGACGTTTGGTCAATGCACGTAATTTTATTTTCACCACGCTAATTTTATTCTTGTTGATAATTTTTGGGGTTTTACAAACTAAACTTGCAATAAACTTATGAGAAACGCCGAAATGGAGTACGTTTCGACCACCTGTGTGCACTTTAACCTTCTTTAGCGTGCACCTTAACCTAGGCACACAGGCCTCGAGCATTGGAAGTGTGTGTGTTTGTTTACTTAGAGGATGAATCCAAAAGAGCTGGTTCACTGTAGTATCGAAAAGTCAGGTAGATAAACTAAAACATACTTACTGCTACGTTTCGACCGAAGGCCGGCCTTTATAAAGCTTAGCAGTTGGGTACCTTCGCGCAGTTCCAAACTCCATAAAGGCCAGACTCCGGTCAGAAGCTATAAATTAAAGTCGTCGTCGTCGTCGTCGTCATCATCATCATCATCATCATCATCACCAGCCTGACTACATTTAGTGCAGGACAAAGGCCTCCCTCATGTCCCGCCGGTCAACTCGGTATTGTGCTTGCTGCTGTCACTTTACACACCTGCAAACTTCCTAATCTTATCTGCCCACCTAACTTGATGTCTGCAGCCCCTAAACTGCTCGCCTTCTCTGGGAATCCAGTCAGTTACCCTTAATGACCAGAGGCTATCCTGCCAACGCACTACGTGCCCAGCCCATGTCTAGTTCTTCTTATTGATTTCAGCGATGATATCATTAACAAATTGTGTGAGAAGAATCAGCCACTCTGTTTACAGGGTGTCTTCTGATGGGGAGAATACAAAAATTTTGGAAGAATGCTAACATCAACTTAATCCATGAGAAAGAAGACCACAAGAACTTGAGGAATATCATGCTGATCATCTTGCTGTCTGTCGTATAGAAGCTATTTACAAAGGCAATTGCTAACAAAATTAAGACATTAGAATTCAATCAACCAAAGGAACAAGCAGGGTTTCGAACAGGCTACTTAACAATAGACCACATTCATACTATCGATGAGATGATAGAGAAAGGTTCAGAAAACAGCCAACCACTATACATAGCCTTCATAGATTACGAGAAGACATTTGATTCAATAGATGTATCGGCAGTTATGCAGATACTGCGGAATCCGGGTGTCGAGGAAGCATATATAAACATCCTCGAGGAAATCTACAGCGGATCAACTGCTACCATAGTGCTTCATAAAGAAAGCTACAAAATACCATAAAGACGGGTGTGAGAGAATGGGATACGATCGCTCCAATTCTATTTACCACGTGCTTACAGGAGGTTTTCAGAGGCTTAAAATGGGGATAGGTAGGGATAAACGTTCATTGAGAGTACCTAGGTAACTATCCCTTTGCCGACGATGTTGCATTGCTGGAAACTCAATGGAGGAACTGAAATTCATGATTACTGAATTAGACAAGGAGAGCAGAAAGATAGGTCTTAAAATTATTCTGCAGAAAACGAAAGTGGTGTACCACAACCTCGGAAGAGAACACCGCTTCGATAATAGTCACTTCAAGTTGTAAAAGAGTACGTATACTTAGGACAAGTAGTAACTGCGGAGCCAAACCCCAAGATTAAAGCAGCTAGAAGAATAAGAATGAAGTGGAGCACATTCGGCAAGCATTCCGTAATCATAACAGGTAGATTGTCACTGTCCCTCAAGAGGAGGGTATATATGATAGCTGCATCTTGCCGTTACTTTACCTACGTAGCAGGATACCGGGAGGCTTACACAAGAGTTCAGCTTAAACTGAAGTCGACGCAGCGAGCGATGGAAAAGAAAAGAATAGGTGTAGCCTTAAGAGACAATACGATAACAGAGTGGGCCAGAGAACAAACTGGGGTGAAGGATATCTTAGTTGAAATTAAGAACAAAAAATTGACATGGGGCGGGCATGTAGCGCGTAACCACTGGTCTTTAAGAGTGACTGAGTGGATTTCAAAAAGAAGGCAAGCGGGTGAGGGGGACACAGAAGGTTAGGTGGACAGATGAGATTAGGAAGTTTGCGGGTTTAAAGTGGCAGCAGCAAGCACAGTACCAAGTTGACTGGTGAAACATGAGAGAGACCTTTGTCCTGGAAAGGGCGTAGTCAGGCTGATTATGATAATGAGTCTGATTCACTCTAGTCTTTTCTTGTCTCTTGAGGTTACACCTGCCATTTTTCTCTTAGCACAGCTTCAAGTAAGACACTACACCTTGCACTTTGCATACCGTTTTCCTTTCGTCGCGATCGTACTATGACGTATCAATTTCAGTGTGGTGCAAGGGTTAAGGCGTGGCTCAACAACTCAACGCTTTTGACGTCGTTCCTTACCTGAGAAACGTAGGCACCCTTACAGCCAATCACAGCTTAGCTCGCACTCTGGAGCATTTCTTCGGTTCCTGTAGTGCAGTGTGGTACACCTGGTCACAGGAACAGTGGACAACGTTGACAGCGACCGTCGTAGACATCGCTGACTCCTTTCTTTCGATACGGTTCTGCGACGATCCAGCCGGCTCTGCTCATCACACAGCACGCATCAACACAGCTCAATAACAGCCTCGAGGCCAGTCTCGGTGTCCCGCCCCTTTCCCCCCAACCCCCGCCTCACCTACCTCCTCCATGCGTAGTGCCTGCGAGACGCTCCTGGAGCTCCCGATATCCGCACCTGTTGCAGCAAACCCCCAGGACGTATAGACAGATAGAAAAGATAAAGTGCGCATGACACAATTGTACGCTGTTCGTGCAGCTGCGCGTGTAAAGAGAAAACCGCCCGTCTGCGGTTTGAGCGAGCGAAACACGCAGACGCGCAGGAAGTAGTCCACTTGCGCCGGTACAATGTACGTTACACTGGCCAGGTCTTGTGACATGCAGCGTATCCTATGTGCTTGATACGTGATACCTTTGCTGGTGTGTTCGAGTATGCTTACAATAAGTTTGTTTGTATATATATACCCTTCGGATGGGCGTGACGCTGGTGCTTTCCGGTCTATTTCAAACGCGCGTAAGCCTCTCCTTTCTAAAGACACTTCAGAAACTGCATTACTTTGAGGCTGACGGCAAATGCCTACAGAGGAAACTACGTCACCTATCGTATATGTAGCAGACTCTTAGGCTAAAAAAAATTGAAAATACAGTGCTGCAATGAACTGAAAAGAAACGAGAAGAATACAGGACATCTTTAAATAATACTTCAGTTGTGAAGCGCCTGCCCAATCTTATTCTCGTTTCTCTTTTTTTTTTACTCCTTCTTCAGCCATTTTTCCATCTCTTTGAACCCAGACCAACTCGTCCGCCTATCTGTTAATCTGCGGCGTCTCGGGCTTCTGTGACTTACTTGGTGCGATGACTTGCTCATGTGTAAGCTAAAAAAAAGCAACAACTTGAAGAATGATGTCCCTATGACATTTTCAATTTAACTGAAGGAAGGCGACACTACCGACGGCTGTGGCCAAATGCGCTGTACAACAGACGTATGTGACATATGCGTATGTGAAGTACTTTCAAGTGTCTGTTTTTGAGAGCATTCAGATTGTTTCCGAGGAAATGCTATAGCGTTGCGTGACAATTCAGATGCATTCACCTATCACTCGTTTGAAAGAACGGGTGTAGACAAGGCCATGGTACAGATTTATGGGATAGCAAAAAAGTTGGTATTCATGCCGGCTGTCTGCCTGTGTAAGTGAGACAGGTAGCGGACGACCGCTTCTGTAGACAACGTCTATTACAATCAACCCTATTCGTATGACCATCTAAGACTAAGCATAAAAACGTGTCGCTTAAGTGACAATGCTATTTGCAGCGCAGCCAATCTTTTCCTCATTTCTGATAGATAACAATCACCATGAGCATGGGGCCCGGAAGCTGCGAGTCATGTATTGTCGTTCTGCCTGCTCTTACCGCATGTACCTCACCAGATTTACCTGGCTGTTAGCACCAACGCAACCACACACACGGGCCCCCTAAGCTGTCTACGACAAGGGCTGATATCTGGGGTCAAACGTTCAGCGGTACAAATGCTTTTAAACTCGGTAACAATCTCAAAAACGCTAGAGAGTGCAAGGGTAAAGATGCAAGGTTAAAGGCGCTACAAAGACGCAAGGGTAATGAGTACAAGGGTAATGAGTACAAGGGTAATGAGTACAAGGGTAAGGATACAAGGGTAAACGCGATTTCGAGGGCCGACGACAGAGCAATGCCAAATTGTATCCTTCAACCATGCACGATTGCGAATTATCCGGAGTGCTACACAATCGCAGGAAGTGTTCTTACACTCTCGATGTATCCTCAGTATACGCTTCAGCATCAGCGTGGTTTGGCGCAACACGTTTGGAAGGCCTTCGAAACACTTCTTCACAACGTCAATGACGCACCTGCGCCGCCACACTTCCTTCGCCGACGCGTTCGATAAGCCCTCACGCGAACAGTGTTGAACCGCGACTGAGGTGTGGCTGGTGTATACACGCGCCGCACTAAGTGGGTCACACAGCACGCACACGACAGACCCACGGCCCATTCGAAGGGCCCTGACCCGAAGCTCCGGAGCGTGCTTGTTTCGAGCATGCGTGCATTATACAGGCACTCAGACGAAATGTGGTGCGCCTGTACGGTGCGCAATCGTTACTCGGACACAACGAAGTAAGCAGGTCGTGATATGGATCGTGTGTTGGCGGGGCTCATTCATATTTTACATTATCAAGTACATTATCAAGTACCGAAAAGAAAAAAGCTCAGAACAAAGCACTGCACAAGGAGAGAAGAACCTACTATTTTGCGTTAGAAAGAGCCATTACTCATTGCGCACGACAGCAGTTACATCTCGCCAACCCATGCGTTGTTTTCGTGTTTCCCAAACAAGCCATAAATAACTGCTACTACAGCTTTACGTGTAAATCAGTCAGCCGATAAATCAATCCCGATTTCCTTCATATGGCTGAAGCTTTATTGGATTGACTGACTGAATATATATTTGGTTTGCTGAGTAAAGGAAAGTATAATAAAAAAAAACTTGCACTGTGCCTACTAAAGAGAGAAAAACTTTGGGTAGGTCACCAGTTCATCGCGATGCACAAAATTAGCGGGATAAATTAACACTGGAAAAGACCAGGATGGAAAGAGTGCTAACGCGTAAGCACTTGTTACATCTTAATATGCACTGGTTTGGGCTAGTTGGTAACACTTTGTGGTAAGATAAGCTGTGAACAGACACAAGTGCATTCTCAGTGCATTATTTCTTATGTTTATTAGATCTACAAGCCCCATTACCAGGAAACTGTCACTGGAACCACCTATTAATCAACTTGTGTATATTAGGTGCCAGTTACAGCCCGAAAAGACTTTTTGCCAGGAAGTATTACAGAATAGCTTGAAGAAGCGTAATAGAAAAATACAGACATGCAAATGTAAACAAGAATTTTATACAAATGCACAAAGTTTTACATTAGGTAATTACTGCAATTAAAAACGCATGCAACTTTAAAACGCAAACATCACGTAATAATTGTAGCAAAAATAAGCCCAAGAAAAGTTTTAAAACGTGTTATACACACCCGACAGTATTATTCCTGTTTCTCTACTTGCGACTTCTATCGTTATCTGTTAGCCAACATTGTATCTGCAGAACAACCTTTGTATTGTATTTGCAAACTTACCACTCTCCTCTGCAATGCCTCTGGCCGTGAGAGTAATTTCAATAATTAGATAAAAATAAATAGATGTTTCACCAATAAACACATGGGTATTCAATATTTCTAGAAAGAGTAAAAGGCAAGGGTGCCTTGATTTAGTAATATAAATTTAAAGCTAGGCTATGTTTAAAAAATTGACATTTCCCATTTAAACTCCGAAATTTCTCCAAGCAGGTGACAACCTCCTTGTCATTTGTGTTTTCTTCTTTTGTGAGAAATCTACACACCTTCAAGCACTCATGACTTGCAACAGAGCAACAGAGTATCCCAAGTTATTCCCTTCCTTTCATGTGTGACCTAGAACTATATTGAGTGGCCGTAGCGTTGCATATAATCCAGTAGATCCTCCGTGAGCGGTCACAACGTGGTTTATTTCGATGTTTCGGCCTAGAGTCTGGCCTTCATCAGGATTCTGATGAAGGCCAGACCAGTTGTAGTAGTCATACTCGTGTCGTTCCTTAAACACTGGAGCGGGCCTGGTTAAAAGCACGGTGGTTCGTATTCCCTGCTCTGTGGCTCTGTGAAGGCATTGATTACCACGTGGTCGGCAATAACTTTAATCCAAACAATGTACTTGTCACAGCAAAGGTGCATCACACCTAAATCAGCCAGTGTTTCTACTTCATGAGTGAAAAAACTTCCACAATGGCCCTCAAGAAAGAAAAAATACTGAAATTTGTGAGTCATATAAATCTTTGAAGGTGTGTATCCGTAGAAGGTGCTGAGCACATGAGGCGAAGGTTGCACCGAATGGAGGACAAAGGTACGAACAAAGTTATCGTCTTTACCGGTGGTTACAGTGACGAAATGTACGGCACTCACGTACTTTTATTGTCCCGATCAGAGACCATGAGTTGTTTTCATCGGTGGGTCATTATAATTGGTCATTGTAATGGCTGCGATGGCCTTGTCGTGGCACAGACTGATCTGATCGGCCACAAACTTGGACACGTTCAAAGAATATGTAATGCGTGGTTTTCAGTGACATGCTCAGTGTATAGTGGAACGTACCCAGGAAGGCGTCTAGAAGGAAGTTCAAGAAGTTGACGTTTGGATGTGAGCGGATTGCGATTGAATTGGAAAGGGTATCATGCGTGATCCCCCACTGAAGTTGTGGGAGGCCGTGACTAGCTCACATACATTCATCCAGACAAGGGTGGCGAATCGCGCCGCGCAGGTCACCGCCAACCCTTGGTGGATTATCATCTAACGCGGCTTCATCCGTAGCTTCTCTCTGACGAAATAAAGCTTTGCCATCTCTTAGAAAGGTTCGTATCTCCGCATGTCCGGCTTTTAGTGGTTGTATTTGCGTTACTGGAATGACATGTACATTCCATGTACATGTCATTCATGACATGAAATGACATGTACGTTTTTTTTTTCACGTGCAGGAAAAATATACGCAGCCCTAGCCATATGCACTTTCGCTGCTACGAAGTGGTCAAGATTGTAAAAGTTTTGGTTAAGAGACCTGTTAATCGAAAACTTCAGCTATTTCGCCTTCAATGCTGGCATCACTTGGTGTGACATAAGTTCTCAGCAGGGAAACACTCTACCCCGTCTCCCAATCGTCGTTTGTGTAATACGACACAGGAGCCGTACAATAACATCTTTCGACGAGAATTTTTATTTGTGCGACTTTTCGCGAGAATATATCACCTGGTACGTACGAGCGTATGCAGGCTGCACTGATTTGCCCTCTGCGAACATTGTCAAAACGGGTGGTCGGAGACTTAGTATCTTCGAAGACTGCAACGCACCAGGTCATAATGCCATAAAACATTAAAAAGGGAAGTTATCTCAAAGTGGTGTTCTCCAACACGTGGTCTGTGAACCTCTCGCTTGCGGCCGACGGATGGCTGTCTTCATCCCAAGTCTTTTTAACGCGCTAGCGTCAAAGAGCTCATTTCCCGGATATTCTGGCATCGGCGTCCTTGGTTGTGAGAGAAAAATTATCAACTTATGCATGGCCTAAATATAGAGAACAATGCAAGTAAAATGAAAGATAAAGAAAGTCCTGGTCAGAGTGGAGACCGAACCAGAGTCGTTTGGGTCCGAGTGTGGAGCGCCCTTGGGTTGTTTGCGTGGCAAGCGGCTGTTCTACACACGGCCACACTTTGCTTGTGAATACAGTGAAAATAACTTCCTCTGCGTAGAAATGCAGTGAAAGTAGCTTTAATGCTTTGCAAACATACGCATCCTAAATACATGCTTCAGAATGCAACAAAAATATTGCAGTGTAATGCGTGGTACAAGCACCTATTGAAATCTGGCGTTAGAACGTGTGATATTCATATTGAGTTCGGGGTTTAAAGCCGGTAACCCAATAAATAAGGGACACACGCTACTGCGCCTGTTTCATGAGGGCCACGTAGTGAGTGCAAAGCAAGTTCGAAAAGGTTTTATGCACTAAGCCTTCGAAATACGGACTAGGAACAGGATATTACTATCACGTTCAACCCAATACGAAGCTTTAGGGTCGCCTTTTTTTTAATAATCATATCAATGAGCTAAACAGACATGACTGGTCAAAAGCTTTCTTTTCGTTAGCACCCTATATGACTGCCATACGATAAAACCTAACCGCGAAACAAACTATATTTCAAGATGGGTGCTCAGATTTTAGTTAATTTGGCGATTGGTATCAAAGTGTTGAAGTCCTTGCACTACGTCTTCAGAAATCACTCTTATATGAGATATGGGTATCGTTTGCTTCGAAATGGTCACGTTTTATGGCAATGCGTGCATCTAAACCGGCCTTGGCTACCTTCTACTGTATACCTGCCTTTGCGGGGACCAATAGCCTAACTATACCGCCCGCGGGCTAAGCTGAGTTTGAAATCCCTCTACTAAGAATAAACATCTAAGAATGCCACCAAGGATGGCACATCTCAATTACTCTCTCACGCTGTGTTTCCAGAATAGGGCTGATGCGATGGCATTGACTTTGCCTGGTAATTACTTACTAGGCAGATCCTCCAGCAAGCAACAACGTATATGGCCTGTCATTTAGTGCAGAAACGCACTCCCCAACGTCCTTTACTATACAGCCATATTTTACCCGTAATCCAAGCACTATATGATGTAAAGCGTGTGCTGCGCCATGCACCGAGCTCGACAACACATGTGAACCAGTTACGCTGCTAGCTACTTACACAATAAAACACGGGCCCTAAATTTGCAATAACCACAGTTGAGAAGTGGGAGGTCATGCCGTCCAGCGCGTACTCTGAGGACCAGCTGTTGGTCGTTCTGCTGTCCAAGAACGGCATTTAGGGTCGGCATCTGGCCACCGCCTGAGGAAGGGGAATTACAGGGCTGCTCGTATGTCAGTCCCCAGACTACCTTCACCTCACCAAGGACAGTTTATTAAAGTTTGTTTCTCTATACAGCAATAATAAAGCTCATCACCAGTAACCGCGTCACCAACAAGTACTCTGGGGATCACCTTTTCCATCACTTCATATGCCACGCTTTAAGAGTGGTTCACGGCGGTCACCGACTTCGTCTGCATCCACGGAGACGGCTGCGCAGGATCTGCCGCACATTCGGCTCACCATCCAAGCCGCAACACCTAACACGCCAACGTAGACCAGCAGAGCCATCATGTGCCACGCGAATAGGCTGGCAACTAGCATCGCCTCCATGTGGCTGTTAACGTCCCAGGGCTTGTAACTGGGCAGCGGGCTGAAGAGAATGAAGGCGAGCTGCCATAGCCACGTCCCATGCAGAAGGCAAAAGTAAGCACGACCCAGGGACGCCAGAATGCTTCGGGGATCGACACATCTCGGCTATGAGACAGGCAATCATTGCAACCACAATGTACACCAAGAGCCTGTGGGTCTGAGTGTTGAGTAGTGTCTTGCCATGCAGGTGCAAGTGGAGCATGAGGCCTTCGGATGTGATGGCGAGCACCAGCACCACGTAGTCAGTGTTTGCTGGAAACGGGAACCCGGCGTTGTAAATGACGTCCACCACGCCGTTGAGTAGGAAGAACGCGTACATGGAATGGTGCTGGACGCTCTCTTCGTCCACGGACTGGTCGGGCCTGAAGATACGGCCAAAATCTCCGACAATGCACGCTGAAGCACCGATGATCTTGACGAGGCCTTCGATGCTGAGTTTTCTGTTCATACCAGGCACTGCGTACGAACAGCGGCATAGGTAGCGCTGCTTGTTCTTCCTGCAGCGAATGTAGCTGAGCCACACAGCGAAGGTCCACCACGTTCCGAAAGAGGAAGAAGAAAGTTCCAGACAGTGTGTGGCCCCCGAATTTGTTCATGGTGTGTGACGGTCCAGCAGAGGTTGGCAACTTCGGCGGCGACGTGGGCTCCTCACTTGTACTGCAAATGGACGGGAGAACGAAACGCATGAGCATAGTGCATCAGTACTTTCTGGTCAGCGATTCCGACAGAATGATAAACCATTTAAGGAAACCAGTGAACAGTACAACCAGGCCAGACAAAGAAAGTGGAACAATGCTTCACACAGTGAATATTTATAAATGAGGTGGTGTCGAGGTGCAAGGTAGCATGACGTTGCCTAGCGCTATGATTTCACAAGAAAGACGCGAACACGAGATACGGATAGATGCGTGCACGTGTACATACGTATTTTTAATGCTTGTTGGCGATAAGTATTCTAACTTTGTTCGATAGTATGGTGATGTTTATAGCGAAACATCTGCTTGCACCGTGTGGGATCCGCACCAACCACAATATTGCAGCACTTCAGATGGTTCAGCGCAAAGCAGTCAGATTTATTTTTCTAAATTGCGTAAAGCCGGAATCACCAACAGCAATTATGCGTATTAATGAAATACAGACTTCAGAATTACCAGGAAAAATACTCAGGCTTAAGTATCTTCTTCTCCTGAAAAATAACAAGTTGTCCTTTCATCCCGGTTCATATACGCCCGTACAACAAGACAAACCAGACACCATCACTTTGAACCAATAACTCCTTATTAAACAACAACAAACACCTTCAAATGTTCTTTTTCCCTCGCACTGTTAACGAATGAAAAGCACTGCCATCATCATTGCTAGAATCAGTTGAGTTGATTGACAAAATTACAGTTAAGTTGATTGACACAACTTTGAATTGAGTTGTAAATGTTTGTTTTTCATTTTTCTTACCTTATATACTGTATTTTGTTTTGTAATTTGTTCCACTCCTGCCAGGGCCCTGTGGTCCTGCAGTATGTTGTAAATAAAATAAATAAATAAATAACAAGATAAACCCCCCCGCTTGATGATGGCAGCTAATAAACAACACATGATTTACATTCAACATATCGGTCCTTTTTCTTCTCCGGGGAGAACGAGCATCTTTTGGCCAGTAGGGTTGTTCTTTTTTCTTTTTTCTCGGGTGTTTACACAGGTGTCACTTTTCACCATGATTAAAACATTATTGTATCATGTTTGCTCTGCTGCGCAGACGCCATGATGTGCCAAGCGACTATATCTCCTTTGTTTGATATATGTGTGCATTCCTTCTACTAAATTTTGGATTGGAGCTCAGTGCCTTGTCTCTTCTACAGCGTCTCTTCACTCAGCGCCTCAGCGTCTCTTCTACACGCCTTTTCTATATTTTTGGCGCTGTTTTTACATCCTAAGCAAACATCAACATAACCTTGTTGCCTTCCCATTTCGCATTCACGTGCAGCGCTAGGACCTAGATGTTCTACGGTATCGCGTAAATAAATAAGGGCGACATTTGAAGCATGCGTTTTTAGCCTAATAATGTTTGTTTTGCACCCAAAAAAAGCCTCAATGTTGATACCTGATCAGAAAACAGTATCCCGGTCGTAGTAGATCAAACCACACATATACAGCTTCTACTATGTTAACAGCTCTCACGATCGTTAGGGTGTAAGAGCATCATAGCTTTGTAAAAGATTTATACGAAAATTGTGATGCCTGTGAAAGTTAGTTGTGTTCTTTTTAACTTCTTCAACACTGCACAACTAAGTATTTTTCGTAACTGCAGTGTTTTCAGATGTTCTACACTCAGTGTGTTATTTTTCACGTGCATTTTATGTGCGGGGACAACACCCACTCGGTATCCCTGCACGAAGTGCATACTGACAAAACATCATCATCATAATCGTCAGCATCTAAATAATCAGCCCGATTGCGTCCAGGGCATGGCAAGAGCCTCTCCCATAATTTGCAAATCAACCCACTCCTGTGCTTTCAGCAGCCATGCTGTACCCGCACACATCAAAGTTTTCATTTTCCCTCTTAACGTTGAGCCTCACCTTGACGCGCTTGCATTCTCTTTGAATTCGGCCAGTTATTCCTAAAAGCTAGCAGTTATCTTGCCTTTGTGCTACGTGTATTTTCAATGGTAATGTCTTCTTGGTTTGAACTGAGAGATCGGTAACGTCTGTTTGTTCCCTGACCCAATTGGACTTTCCTTGTGCTTCACGGTTAGACCTATCATTCTTTCCATGCCTCGCTGCGACGATGTGTATAGATAACGGCGAAGAAATCTCACGGAATAGCAAATGTCATCACGTTAACTGCCAGGCACATCGATTCAACCAAACGCCTATCCAGAAAGGCAACCGGACAGCACTGATGTATGTGGTGTAGTGAATTAGGAACAAGGTATGTGGAGATTGAAAACATTTTTTTCTAAAACTGCAGCTGTGTAACGGCTTTTGTTTTACCTAGACACAAATTGTTTTGTCAATGATTGACAGGTGGAGGACTGCAGGTCATGGCAGAAAAACTAGGTCGTGGAGTTGTCATAAATATTTTCGTGGCTGGCGGACAAGGAACAAAGAAGTATCTTCAAGATAACAGAAAAACGCCTGTTTGTTTAATGAACTTGTGAATGCTTCATATGTCACCATCATGATGACCTGCGTGTTTATGTGTCCACACCAGGCTGAAGGCCACTCCCAGCCACCATCGAAGCAGACTGTCCTTTACTACACTCGAAGACAACTAGTCTTGGCAGTGGAACAATGGCTGGAGAGGCGGGTCACCCACACACGTTTTCACCTCTACGCAAGCTTAGTCTGACAGCTCGCAGCCGATTTAATTTCCATTTTTGGTTCTCCCTGTTCACAGCATTCGTCGGCAATTCATGCGGGCGGCACTTCACCACAGCACTGACAGACGTTGCAGATAACTTGCTGGGTCTGTCTTTATGGTCACTTTTGGTCACATCTCGAGGATATCCTTCTGAGAGAGCGAAGCCGGCAGTTAACGGCCGCACATGGTACCGCCAGCGTCGGGGAGGCTATATTTACTTCGAAACAGGCATTCCGAAACCGTAATGCTGTTGCAGAAATGAAAAAAGGCGAAAGAAAATCACGCTTTATTAACGAAGTGAATGACCATGAGTGGCTGAAGCAGTGGGATGGTTAGGTGTTACCGTAGATCACCCGTAACATTGACCACTCACTCGCGTAAATGAGTTATAATGTGGTGTAGAGTTTTATACAATGTTCATTGGTCATAAACAGTGTGTTGTGTTGAGTTGTACTTTTCGTTTTGCTTTCATTATCACAACATTGCGGTATTGAATCTAGACTGAAGTTGGCGAAGACCATCGAGGTGTGTGCAGGTTCCCCTGGTGGTTGTTAGTTCTTTTGCAGTCATGTGAAATGCACTTGTTGCACATATCAGTACCTCGTATTCTACACAAGTCCAGTCGTTGTCCGTGATCATCATCGTCATAATCTTCATCGTCATCACGTCATCGTCATGGCGTATTGTGGGTGCCTTGCATGTTCTCGGCTATGGCGAACGCCAATTCCACTAACGGACAAGCCTCCACCTTAAGAAGCTTCACCCATGAATTTTATTAGGCGCACGTCATGTTTTTCCAGCAGTAGTACCCCATGCTTGTTTCATTTTTATGATGAAGAAACCCTCGTTTAGTTGAGCTGGGTAACTCTGAGAATTTGAAACTGGAAACCGGCGCTACATCCTGGCACGCACCCAGACAAGTGCTTCCGCTCTGTAGCTCCCAGAGTGCTGTCTGGAAAAGTTATCCTCGAGTTCAGCACGAATAGTCGGCTAGCACGACACAACACCTCTGTTGTTTCCTCTCATCTGTCGCTGTCTGTTTAGCGTTGTGTGGCCATCGCAGTAGATAAGTGGCCATGGCGGTCGCATTCGAAGATGGAGGTGAGATGGTTTAGATTCGTCTTCTGTTTGATGTCAGCCCACGTTAAAGAACAGCAGATGGTCAAAATTTCCAGGGCCTTCTACTGCAGTAGATCTCATAGTGAATGGAAGTCTTGGGACGCAAAACTTTATGTAATCAATCGCAAACTAGCCCGAGCGGCCATTCTATCTAATTGATATCTTTTAATTCGCCCACTTTGTAACATGCGCTAACCCTCTGGTGTCATGGGAAGCGCTTGCATCTTCTCTTCTCCATTATTCCACTCTAACTCATCATATAAAGCTCTCAATTCTAATGAAGAAAAAAGTTAAAAGACTTGTTTTTCTTTGGTAGATACATTATGAATAACTAATACACAATACGGCCAAGGAATAGTGTGAGATGTTATAGAGGTAGTTTTAATTTAAATATGAAAGAAGAAAAGTCGATGAAACATTACCTTGCCGCCAGGAGGAACCGAATGTGCGACCATCGAATAACGCGCCTGATGCTCTACCATTGAGATACCACCTTCTCACTACAGACCTACGTCACACAAGCGTACTGTGTAAGTGCAAATTTAGATAACGGCGAGCATGTGACTGACAGATACTACGCGCAATTTGATGCTGTCCTGTCGACAATGCCGGGGCTTCGAACGCATCGATCATACGGTAGATTTCTCCCCTCTTGTTGCCATCTCACCTGCCCTCCGCAAATGTGCCACATTTCAGAAGCAGATCGTGTGTTCCCGCTGTCATTGCTCAGCCCCCCCCCCCCCCCAATTTCTCACTGCACTATTCTTGGACTCTCGTTCTCTGAATGAAATTTGCCGTCATATTTCTGCTTCGACGTAATCATCGTGTTACTGAAATATACAGCCTTTTATGGAGCTGTCGTGCACCACCGCGTCTTTTCTTACATTGCCTTAAAAAAATTGTGCAGAAATTCGCTTACCTGGACGCACTTTCCTCAGTGCTGCCTGCAAACCGAAAGGATCTCGGACCTACAACACACCAAAAAAAAGGATCATTGTCAACAAGTTCGTGCACTGGAACAGAATTCAAGGAAATAACAATAATAGGTCGTTAGTTTAAGCACATCTCCCCTACACTACTCGAGAAACAATAGATAATGACACTTATAAGATAGATAATGACTTATAAGAGAGAAAAGGTAATGAACTTAGACTAATAAATATTACTATGAAAGCTACAGGGTAATTGATTTCCCCGCAGTAGGGTATGGACGAGAAAGTCAGTGTAAAAAAATTTTGATATTTACTGGTGAAATCTCCGACGTCATAGATTTCAAAATAAGTTTGTTTGTTTTTTTGTGTGTGCGTGTTTTTTTTTTATCTGGCTGCGTTGGTACGATGAAATTTCCTGAAATTTTATATGTAAGGTTCCTGGCTTTCTCTAGATGACGTTGAAGCCTACTTAATTTTTACCGATTAGGAGCTACATAGGCCTTGGTAGACGCCATCAAAATCTTCGGCGTCATGACGACGACAACGGGGAGTTTAAGGTGGCGTCATCACAGGCATTCGCTTTTTCTAAGTTTTCTCGCTTATACCGTGCGTCTTTTCACAGCAAACGGAGTCTTTTTCCGCATCGTAAAACAGCTCTTATTATTACGAAAAAAACAACTTATTTTTTATATTTTAGTCCTTTCAAAGCAGTTTTCTGAGTGAATTAGAGTAAGGAACACCGACGCATTTTCTGCACTCAAGCAAAAAAAAAAAAAAAACTCCAGGCAAGGAAATAAAAAAAAAACCTAGAAGAACGGTTCTTTTCACTGCGCATCTTTTATTTTTCGTGGAAACATCATCACAGTTGAGTGCCTGCAACCCACGACGATGTTCATGGTGATTATGAGGCTCAACTGATGGCCTGAAGGCTACAGGATCAAACCCCGGCCGTAGCGGCGTCTGTATTTCCTGTATAGGCGACAATGTTCGAGGGCCGTGTACCTAGGTTTAGGTGCACATTAACGAGGCCCACGTAGCCGGAATTTTTGAAGCCTCCCACTAAAGTGTAACGATCATGAGGTGGTGTAAGAGCGTTGAGCCTCAGCAATTATTGTCATTGGTATTAAGCTCAATTCGATGAAATTGTCGACGCGTAAAATTTTCGTCATAGCTACTGGTGTTTTAGTGCTGAAAGGAAATCAACATGCAAACAATAAGATCATCGGAACGCGCATGCATGTCATAGTAATTTCCTCAGACGTGCCGACAGTTGTTTTCTAGACGCTGCCACAGTGCCCACTTGAATATGAAGCGCGCCATCAAACTTGGAGACATTTTATTGGGCGATTGTAGAACATACATAAGCTAACAGGCGGAGACTGACCTCACATGTCGCAAAAGCCATTACCTACCAGTCATAGGTGGTCACTGGGTTCTCCGTTAAAAAGTGAGTGGTCGTGTCTTCAAACCAACACGATTACCGCTCAATACAGAACGAAAATTAAATCGAGAGTTCGACTGAAAATCCGCCTGATCGGGACAGAACATTATGAATGAAAGCGAACACTGATCAAATAAACTTCTTTAAAAGACGAAAGACGTTTCGGCTTCCAACGAAAGCCTTGTTCAGAATCTTGTGAACATGGCTTCAGCATGGAAGTTTTTTTTTTGTTTTTTTAAAGGAAAGACGTTTCAGTTTCCACACGAAACTCTTGTTGAGAATTTTGATTGTTAGCCTTGTTTTCTTTTATTTAAAAAAAATCATTTGATCGATGCTCGCTTTTATACATCAGAGAATGAAAATGAAGCGAAGACGTGCTTCTGATAGTGGTCTGTTTCTTGTTTTGTGTCTTCCCGAACTGGAGATGGCGTCTGAACAGTTGATGGAGGGCAACCTCCGGGGCCGTCGGCTGGCATTATCGTCATAGCTCTTTGAACAACAACGACGCAGGTCTGGCTTAGCAATCGTATAGAGCAGACATCCCCCCCCCTCCCTTACCGTCCCCTTTTTGTTGATCAGGGCGTTGCGGTCTGCTCCCTTTGCCCTCCCCGTGGGCATCGTCCCGAATTCGCATCATGGTTTTGGGATGTATGAATCAAACGTTTATTGTGAGCTTGCTGATTGCCAAGTGATTTGAGGCTACTTTTTTCTAGTAAGAAGAGCATGGACATCTGAAACTAAAATTCTTGAAGCCCTCAAGTTCAATCATGCACAAACGCTGCGTGTTCTTACAGTGCCACCTGAAAAACCTTAACACGCCCATTGTAGCACGGTACCGCACTATTGACGACTGTGCTATCCTCGGCTAGTGTTTCTTTATCGCCGGGTGGTAGGAAGCTTGCCTTTGGATTGCAGGTACACAGGTTCAAGTCTCACCTGGCCAAGAAGTTTTTTCGACAAGAATACTTCTCTCTATATGACTTTTCTTATCTCTTTGTTTCTTTCCTCCTTTCTTTCCTTTCTTTTCTTCTTTCTTTCCTTCTTTCTTTCTTTCTTTCTGTATTCATTCTCTTGCCAAGCAACCACGTTAGTCTCACTACGACCCTCTTACTCACCTTCAGAGAACACGTCGGCTCTGTGCGATGTGGTTGACGCAGAAATTGAGCGTAAAAACCGCCTTTGATACGTCTAAAGCCACCTGCCCAGTTGAAACCACTATTCTCCAGAATAATCACGGATACCACCACTTAAACAAACAAGCAGCCGTTTAGTAGCGTCGTGCATACGTTGGTAGGCTGCTGTACCTAATGATACCTCCACAAAATAGTCCAAACCAACACGTTTTCTACTGAGATGCCCTCTAGCGAGTTGAAAGCTTGTCATCTCGTTTATGCCTTGACCTATGCATCAGTCGACGCCCTAGCGCAAAAGCGACATTTCGAATCGCGCCTTTATCAGACGAGAACTTCAAGTAGCGCACTATTGTTACTGAAATCACAAAGCCAATTACTTTAGCATACGGCTACATTAACACCATCACCATGACGTCCACTTATTAATTGCTATCAATGTTTTGACCCGAAGTGTTGTGTAAGTGCACATTTTATGACGGCGCCTGTTTGCCCGTGCTTTCGAGTCGGTGATTTTTTTTTAATTGATCACCTCTGCTCTTCAGATGTGAGCTGCCATGTCTTCAATTCAACAGAATATAGTTTGCTAGCATTTTAAAGGTGTTTACATCTGGAGAAATGTTGTTGAAAATGTCGTCAATGAATGGCTAGAGGCTGTTGCTGCAGACTGCCGTATTTGCCCGCCTATTACGACAACTGGCTAAACCCAGCTAGCACTGATTCGTATCGGCCGCTGATAGTTTACGTTTGCTATGAAATTACGTAAAAGGAACTACAGATGATAACAACATAGGTCAGCTTATAACTCGGATTTGGGTCAAGCCTTTTATTCACAGTAAGTGTGAGTCCTAGGGAGTGATAGCCTAATTAATGAGCTTGAGTCTGAGGGTGGCTGGCTAGTTGCCGAAGATTGTGGCGAGTTGGATACCGATTGAATTGAGCTTCGACCCAGAATATATTTCTTGAGCAAATCTTAGTGATCTCCGCTTTTCTTTCCTTTTTCTTTCTGAATGACCAGTGCTTTTAGACAATGCTAACGCATTATAATTGACAACATAGGGTGCAGACGTGTGGACCATGTCACCTTCACCAAATAAAGTCGTGAGCTGCGTTGAAATGTACGTGAGACCAATACGCCGAAACCATGGAAGCTTGCCAATCGGACATTTGCCACGGAGTGAAAGGTTACATTTCAGCTCCGCTACCGTGCATGTACGACGCTTTGCGAAATTCTGTGCGTGCTACGGGAAACTGCACTGACTAGAATTGACGTATGTGCTGCGTTCCGAGGTGAACGGTGCTCCGAGGCCGTATCTACCGAACCTGGCTGGCATATTTGCCGCAGTAGTAGGCTGCTAACGAGTATCGCCATCACTGCTGCATGGGGCCGAATGCTTACGTGGTGACGGTGTGCAAACCTATTCCACCGTCGCCATTATTTCGACTGCCAGAAACATTGAGATAATTCTTCAACAGAACACAAGCATTAAGTGGCGCTTGTATCGCAACCATGCTCCGACTCTAGCCGTGCGCCATTCATTGCACTCAGATGTCACGGGTTCGAGCAGCGCAATAGATATACGAAATATCGGAAAGAATACACACGCACGCTTTACGCAACACCGAAACTGCCAAGTTTCGTTGAACTATGCCATTCGGAATGTATGGTCGTAAGGAGAAGTTAGCAGATATGCATGGATTGTAGCCTAACTGCGCGTTTCGCCGCTATAATTATTTCGTCTCGCTGGTCAAGCTCGAGCGTGTTGACGGCATGCGGCGCTCCACATTAGATAGTCATAGTTTACCATTAGCATGATAGCGTCTTATAGTTTAGCGAGATAGCGTGCACGTGGTTTACGTGCTGCAGCTGGAATGGTGGCGCCAGCTGTCGCAGAGTTAGCAAGTAAAGAACAGTGAAAAAGAAAAGAAAACGAAAATGTCTGCCTCTGTCACCGCGAAAGGCAATGTTACAAGTTCATTTTAGTTGAAATGAAAGTAGATAAATATGAACCACACACAAAAAGCGAAAAAATTCATGTTGCCGATTTGTTTACACAGCTCTTCTTGTTAAGCCTGAAGGCGTTCGAAATGGGAAGCTATATCAAAAATTACGCTAGCTTATTCGCAATTTTCGCTCATCGAAGCTAACTGAAGGCAAGCGAAGCCATTTTAAACAGTCGTTTGCTGCGAACGAGGTGAACATTTCAACTGTCCGGCAAAATCACTACGAAGCGGGCGCCCGAAATTGCCGCCATGTTTATATACACTACGTACATCGCACTAACGAGGTAACGTTAAATCTGAAAAATATCGTGCGCACGGTGAGCGGTACGGGTCAGGTAAGTTACTGCGCATGCGCACTTAGATTTCCCCATCCTGGTAAGCCCGCTAAGCCTGCTGAACTCTGTCTTACACCCACAGTAATTGCGCGTCATGCAATGCACAAAAATAAGCTTTTATTTTTATTTCTATGAAGGATATGATAAATTCAATACAATCAAAGTGCTTTATGAGCGTGAAAGACCATTAACGTACCAGAGAACGAGAAGTACAATTCGCTCTTTGTTAGTCAGCAGCTGTTTGTTGACCATCGCTGTCACTTTCGGTGCGTTCTGGCCCTTCTACGTCCAGCGAAAAATTCTTGTCGTCAAGATGGTTTCTTTGAACATCACGGATGAAAGCAATCTGAGGAATCCCCTTCACCGAACGACTTGACAACACCAACAACAGTGCGTCCCCACGTTTATCTTGGCCCAGGGAACATTTCGCCATCCCGCCAACAAGCAAATTGCATGCATGTGCTGCCATCTGTCAACAAACGTGCAAAAACAAGCGGTGCAGCACTGCCCGATTCAAGCAAATCGCATGCCCGCGTGACTTTCCGCGTACAATGTTATAGAATTCACGCACTACAAAAACACTGATGAATGCAATATGCATGCTAAAGAGGGTGAACTCCGACTGAATATGTCACACACTCTTGGCTACAGAAAACCTTGCCAAGCTGATTTGTGTACATTGAGGGACATCGTCGAAAGCGTGAGTTGCCATGTATTTTCACTAAAACTTCGCGTTCCATAAGAAGTTATGAGGTTTATTGTGCCACGGAGAATCTGGTTTGTTCACTGATGCAAGATTTATGCATAGTGGTAGCGTTCTTTCTTGCTAACGTGTTAACACGGAGGCTAGCACAGACTGACCACCGTTGAGAGGACGCTCCCGACTTCCGCTTGGCGGCATGACAGTCTCTGGATATGGCGAATACTTTGCTGTGGAAGCGCTGAGGAGAATTCAGCTATTGGACGATAGAACGATGGAATACCTTGGCTTTGGGTTCAGGCGGGGTGGAGGAGGGGTGAAAAAATGAGGCAGTGGCCAGTACTTGTTTGTTTTAAATTCGAACAATCTCTTTGAGCACTGCAGGTACTTCGAGAGTCTCTGTCTGTCTGTCTGTCTGTCTGTCTGTCTGTCTGTCTGTCTGTCTGTCTGTCTGTCTGTCTGTCTGTCTGTCTGTCTGTCTGTCTGTCTGTCTGTCTATCTATCTATCTATCTATCTATCTATCTATCTATCTATCTATCTATCTATCTATCTATCTATCTATCTATCTATCTATCTATCTATCTATCTATCTATTGATTGATTGATATGTGGGGTTTAACGTCCCAAAACCACCATATGATTATGAGAGACGCCGTAGTGGAGGGCTCCGTAAATTTCGACCACCTGGGGTTCTTTAACGTGCACCCAAATCTGAGCACACGGGCCTACAACATTTCCGCCTCCATCGGAAATGCAGCAGCCGCGATGCGAACCCGCGACCTGCGGGTCAGCAGCCGAGTACCTTAGCCACTAGACCACCGCGGCGGGGCTATCTATCTGTCTATCAGCGCACGTCTGGAGTGTTCTTGTAATTATCCCCTTACCTTGGGGTAAACCACATTTCGTATGGGAGGGTAAGATCGTTTCAGGAATGCGGCTATCTGGTCATGACACGAATAATGTGTTGGTCCTGTCGCATACGTCATCAAACCCATTTCGCCAGACAAGCACGGCAGATACACGTATACCACGGGCGTGTATGTGTACAGGTGATTAATAATTTATGGATATACCCAGTAACGGCGAGAACAGACACTTTAAGTTTTAATAAACGCGAGCACTAAAAGTGTCAAGAAAAAATGGGGGATCCATAAGATTCGCCTTTTAGGAGTTGAACGTAAATCCAGAAAACCACCCAGGAGAACACGAAGCAGACCATAACGGCCTCTTTGATTTTTAAATACGGTCTGCAGATTACATTACATAGGAAATAAATAATACTTTCGTATACACTTTTTTTAAAAATGAGCCTGGGGTCCAATCTTAAATTTAATTGTAATATTCATTCAGTCTTCTTTGAGCCGGTTGAGCGGCTTTTGAGACTTCCATAATTTCACACAGCTAAGCGTTATTGACCATGAGTACATGCTGAAAAAATCAGTCATTAAACAAAAGTGGATGCTTCATACTCTGTCAAGTACTGCAAATATGTGATGTTTTAAAACTGAATCATAAGAGGGGATTTCCCTCTTGGGGTTCCCTTCTTGGGATTCCCCTCTTGGGATTTGTCCTCTCCAGCCTTATCACAAGAATGTCCAGACCCCTTCACCCACTCAAGATATACGCCAAGTTGCTGAAGTAAAATCAGAGACGAAATAAGGAAGCAAAAAAAAAAGAAAAACGCCAGGCCTGCGCGGAAGGCGCAGCACAGTCACAGCGAAAGCTCGAATAGCGGCCTTTCAGAGCTTTTTCGAAACACCCATTGGGTAACTACAGCAAGCACACTTGGTTGATATTCACTAGGGCCTTAATAATAAACCTTTGGGTAGTAGACCGGCATTTACTATGCTATTTTTGTCATTCTTTTGAGAAGCGCAGTATACGCTGAACACTTGCAAGGAATGCCGTCCCAATCGTTCATGCAGCGGCTGACGACGCTGAGGAATTATGGCTGAAGTTGGTATGCGTCCCAAGAGAGGACACTCGCAATGGTTGTCTTCCCCAGCTTGATTACAAGGATCTACGAACCCCCAGACCCACTCACGATTTACGTCAAGTTACTGAAGTAAAAACACAGATGAATTAAGACAGCGAAAAATGCCCTCCCCCCTCCTCTCCGAAGGAAATCGCGAGGAAATGCAAAGGCATTTCTCGCGCCCAAAAAGAGTGCCGTTGCCATCAGACATTCGCCTTCACCGACTCTGCCATCGAATTAAGAGGCACCCAGCCAGCGAACGGTCGAGAGTGAGGAGTGAGCGGACGGAAGAGTGGGGTGCCAGAATTCTCGGCTCGGCGTTGGCGTTTCACAACGGCATCTCGAATGTTCTTCAGAGGCACTCAGCCAGCGAACGGTCGAGAGTGGTGGTGGGTGGTAGTGGTTAGAAGAAGAAGGTTTCTAAGAGAAGTGTGGTGCAAGCGGACGGGAGAGTGGGTCGCAGAGAGGGGAGAGAGCAAACGGCAAAAGAAGGAGCGGCGAAGCACTGTACCTACCTTCTCCTACACTCCCTTGTACCATAAGCTTCGGTTGCTATGGGCGAGGATAAGCGCGCGCCCTCAGCTGTTGCTATGGAAGAGAGTGTGAGAGCAGAGAGATAACATCCGCCGGCTCGCGCACACCGCCCTGTACAGTGCCGGATGGCTGACCTAGCTTGACTAAGAAATGCATTCGCATTTGAAACTGCTCTTGTACTAGCATTTGTTCCGTTCTAATTTAGAACACTGGATTATGATAGTCGGTAACACTCCATCATAAGGCTTGTAGAGCTATGAAGAGACACAAGCGATTCCTCAAGCATTATATGTGCTGTTTATTAGATCTGAAGTCACATTGTTATCAAACTGTCAAGGGGATGACATATTATTAAATGAACGCGTATTATGTGCGAGCTACAGTCTCCCCCCTCTAGCTAAAAACATCTGTAAGGAAGTATTACAAAATCACTTGAAGAAGCGCGAAAACAGAAAAAATACAAGCTAACAAGTGAACTCAACAACGTTATATGAATACATGAAAGTATACATCAGTTACTGTAACTTAAAAACATGTGACCGTACGCCACAAACGTTGCGTAATAAAGTCAAGAAAACTGAAGAAACGAAAATAAAAAAAGCTACTATACCTAACGTTTCACCAATAAAACAAATGTGAATCGAATACTTCTGAAAAATCGAAGGGCAGGTCAACTTGATATTACAATGTAATATTGCATACTATATTTCAAGAAGCAACATTTTCTATCTCAACGCCAAAATCCCACCATGCAGGCGCGAACTTCATTGCCATTTGCACTTTCTTTCTGTAATGAATCAACGCACAAATTCAAACACTTAAGAATTGTTGAAGAGGGACTCAAGTAATTCCCTTCATTTTATATACAGCTTAGAGTTGTGTACTATACAACATACCACACATCACTGTTACTTGTACTAAGTAGTCATGCTTGTGTCGATACTTAAAGATGGGAGTTAACCCTCTCCATCAAAAGCAGGACGGTTCAGCCTCTCTGTCTCGCGAAGATGTTAATATCACGTGGTCGACAAGTCCTAGACTTAAAACGACGCACTACCAACTGCAAAGTGGCGTCAGACCTAAATCAACTAGTATCCCTATAGTACCTCAACAGCAATATAATTCCAGTATGCTTTAACGCGTCAAGGGAAAAAATGAACAAAAAACGTCTCAGTTTTAGATCAAGGCCGAAACAATTATTGCGATAGCAACACATCGGGATGTTATACGAAGTAAGGCTAGGAGATTTAGGAATCATGTGAAATGTGAACAAGGTTTTTTGTACTCTAAGTGACGGTAATGCATAAGCCGCAGTGTATCTAAGAAGGCGTTGGTGCAAATAGTTGACTGCTTGACGTCCAACAGGAGGTGAAGTTCAAGTTCGGCATCGGGAAACGGGACAAGCCATTCGGTCTCACGTTGAAGTACATTAACGTTGAAATCTCTAGTGACTATCACCAGCACTTCCTGTCGGCACATCATACGATGGTTGTGGAGCAAGTAGTTCATTAAGTCAGTCCGCAAGGTTCCTGGGGAGATGTACACTGTCGCGACGACGAAGTTTTGCATGTTTTAACGGCACAAGCGTCATCACGACTCATCTGGGTCAGCGAGTGGAGCTTGTCCGAGTAAAGTGATAGTGGCGGTAGGCATTTCGATGGGAACCGAATTCACAGGCAAGACAGGACCAGCAACTTCCCAAATGATTCTGGACTTGATACCTGCAATTTTATGGTTGCTTCAGAGTGAAAGTGGAATCAGAAACATGTTGGAATTCTCCTTACATCAACTGTATGTGCTTCAGTGAGCCCATTCCTCCATTTATGAAGCCATCGGTCACGTCAATGTTTTGAGAAAGCATGTATCGCTTGCCCAAGCAAAGTACATGCCTTGTGTAAGAATGCTTGTTTTAAGTCTATCGACAGTAAGCCAGTGCCAAATGGTGTCTATACATAGCTCGCCGTTAGTGGGATGGACAGTATTAGCGGTGTGGGCTAATGCAGCTCACTGAAGAGCGATGGGTCGCTGGTCTGAATCTGCGGTTTATGCCTTGGAATTCTTTCGATTTGTTTTTGTTTGTGTATTTTAATATATACAAACTTCTACATATCCGGGACATCAGGGCAATCGCGATGGCAAAAATCAGCTGAAAGTTTTCACCCTATTGCTATCGCAATACAAATGTGAGCCATTTTAGTCTTTGAGGGCGGCATCAATGGAGTAGCTGCTGGGCACACGAGACGGTGACTGCACCGAATGTAGAACAAAAGTACGAACTCGTTTATCGTGTTGACCGGTGATTATAGTGGCGAAAGGTACGATACAAACACACTTCTAGTGTCTCGATCAGCGATCAATAATAGTCCTCATCGGCGGACCATTATAATTGAGTCATGGTGGTGTTGGCGATGGCCATGACATTATCGTGGTAAAGACCGATATGATCGGGTACCACAATGGACACGTTCTCAGAAAAGATAACATGCGTGATGCCTCTCTTAAGCAGTGAGAGGTTGTGTTGGGCAGCTCAGACCAAGTCATCCAGTCAAGGGTTGTGAATGGGTGTCGCAGGTCGCCGTTACGAAGAGGTCAACAGTACAAAATGTTTCGGTCGAAAGGTTTTGGTCTAAATGGTTTTGGTCTAAATTGAAAAACAGGGGGTATTTGGTCTTCATTACTTGCTTTACTCGATGTAGCTTAAGTCCTCTGCTAAGAAGCACTCTTCTTTGTATTCGTATTACGCAAATGAGAAGCACTCCGCTTCTCATTTGCGTGATATGTTGTATAGGACATGGAGCCGCATCATACACTCTAAGAGATAATAGAGTAAAAAGGGTGTCTTTTTGCCCCGCAATAATGATCACCATCTGTCTCACGTTTCGTTAATTTCATCATCGCAGCGCACCCGGCACTTTCTGGTTTCAAACGACATCAGCGTGACATAGCCTTTTTGAATGAAAAGGGGCCAGCGCCGAGTATTTAAGAAAGGAAGTGCAAGCAAGCCTTGTGACGCTTATTGTTGTGGGATGAAAAGAAACCATTTTCACTCCATCAATTTTAGAATGTAGAATGAAATCTTTCGCCGACAACTTTTGCCTTTGCGACATATACAAGAATTCATTGCCCGGCACGTATGATCAAATGCAGGCCACAGTTGTTTAGACTCTGCAAACATTGCCAATATGGGTGGGCGGAAACGTTGTACTTCGATGACGGTGACAAGTCTGGGCCTAATATCCCGAAATATTCCAAAAGTTGAGTTATCTTAACGTGTGAGATTCCCTGAATACCACGTCAAGATGGCATATCTTAATTATTACCTCATGTTGTTCACAAATGAAGTTGAGGCGATGGCATTGAACTCACCTTTTAATCACTTACCAGGCCGATTCTTCAGTAATCAACAATCCACAACCTTACCTTTTCTGCAGAAACGCACATTCCACTGTCCTTCGCTGTACAGCTGGACATTACCCTTTGTATAAACAACGTCACGCAAGGTGTGTGCTGCCCCACGCACTGAGCTCGACAACATCATACGGGCATGTTCCGCTGCTAGCTACTGGCACAATACCATACGAACCTTAGATTTACTATCACTGGAGTGGAGCAGTGAGAGGTTTTGCTAGCTACTGACCCAATAACATGCAAGCCTTAGATTTACAGCCACTACAGTGAAGCAAAGGGAGGTTATGCTGCCCAGCACATGGTCTCAGCACCAGCTGTTGGCAATCCTGCTGTTCAAGTACGCCACGTGGAGTCAAGGCCTGGCCGCCGCCCGACGAAGGGGGATGACGAGGTGCTCATTGGCTGGTCCCCAGCCTATCTTGAGCCCATCACCCACACTTCAGTAAATTTTGTCTCTCCCTGCAGCAATAATAAAGCTTATCGTCAGTCACCGCGTCTCCAACAAGCCCTTTCAGGATCACCTTTCAGTCACTTCATAAGCAGCGCTTTAAGAGTCCTTCACGAAAGTCACCAGCTTCCTCTGCATCCATGGAGACGACTGTGCAAAATTCGCCGCACATTTGGTTCACCAACCACGCCACAACGCCTAACGCGCCAACGTAGACCAGCAGAGTCATCATGTGCCACGCCAATAGGCTGACAGCTAGCATCGCTTCCGTGTCGCTATTAACGTCCCAGGGCGTGTAACCGGACAGCGGATTGAAGAGGATGAAGGCGAGCTGCCATAGCCACGTCCCATGGAGAAGACAAAAATAAGCACGACCCAGGGCTGCCAAAACGCTTCGGGGTTGACACATCTCGGCTATGAGACAGACCAGCATTGCAGCCACGATGTACACCAAGATCTTGTGGGTCTGAGCGTTCAGTAGCGTCTTACCATGCAGGTGAAAGTGGAGCATGAGGCCTTCGGAGGCGATGGTGAGCAGCAGCACCGCGTAGTCGGTGTTTGGTGGGAACGGTAACCCGGCGGTGTACATGACGTCAACCATGCCGTTTAGTAGAAAGAATGCGTACATAGAATCGTGCTGTACGGTCACTTCGTCCAGAGAGTGGTCGTGCTTGTATACAAGGTTAAAATTGCCGACTATGCACGCCGAAGCACCGATTATCTTTACGGTGCCTTCGACACTGAATTTTCTGTTCACACCAGGCACTGCGTAAGAACACTGGCATAGGTAGCGCTGCTTGTTCTTCCTGCTGCGAATGTAGCTGAGCCACACAGTGAAAGTCCACCATGTTCCGAAAACGAAAAAGAAAGTTCCGGGAAGTGTGTGACCCACGAATTGGTTCATGGTATGTTACGGACTAACAGAGGTCGGCAACTTTGGCGGCAACGTAGACTCCTCACTCGCCCTGCAAAAGAACGGGAGAACGACAAGCGTGAGCATGGTTCATCAGCGCTTTCTATTCAGTGATTCAGAGTGAACGTAAAAACATTCTAATAAATGCAGTGGACAACTCAGATAGGGTAGACATTGAAAGCAGAACAAAGCATCCATCACACAGTAAGTATTTGTGGTCTCTGAAAGAATAATCTACGTAGAAGGCAACGTGACGTTATCTAGCACTGTCATTTCACAAAAATGTCCACGCATACTTGTCGCGCATAAATGCGCGCATGTACGTAACTATGTCTGTTTGCGACGAGCAATCGAGTTTAGTTGCGTATAACGGTCATCTTTAGAGTGAAACACCTGCTTGAGCACAAAGTCGAGATATATGCTTTCATACGCATCGTTGGTAGTGCAACTTGGGAAAGAACGTAAAATGTTATTTCAGGTAGGTCGCACAGGCAAATAAATGCGTGTAAAGTTTTATTTGTGCGTAGCAACGCAACATTTTGCTCTCCGTTATGCGTTTGCGTGTAGCGCTAAGAACTACAAGCTCTACAGTATCGTTTAAATAAATAAGGGCAATGTTTAGATCATGCTTTTTCTTCCTAATGATGTTTATCTGCTTGAAAAGCTTCAAGATTGATATCTTATCGCAAAACAGCATCTCAGTCGTGGTAGAGTGAACGACACCTTGACGGCTTCTAGTAAGCTCACAACTCTCATGATCGTTAAGGCATAACAGCATCATATCTTTGTAAACGATTTCGCCAAAAAATATGTGATACCGGTGTGCGAGCTGGTAATGACTTCTGAAAAATTTTAACTTGGCACAAATGCACCAAAGTCATTGTCGTATTTTCACTATGTTCCAGATGCTGAACATCCATGGTTAATCATCCCAATGTAGGACAGCATGCACTCGATGCCCTGACATATGCGTATGATGCAGCATGATGACAATACAGCACCATCATTTTCAGCATCATATTCATCAACCTGACTACGTCCACTGTAGGGCAGGGACCTCTCGCATAATTTGTCTATCAACCCAGTTCTTAGATTTAAGGGCACGTTGTCCCCGCCGACTTATTTTCTATTTGCCCGCTTAGCTTCTTGCGTCATCTTCACTGAGAATCTTACCTTTGCTCCTAATGACCAGCGGTTGCCTTGCATTTGCGCTACTTGTATTTTCAATGCGCATTTCATCTGAATTTCGACCAAGATATATTTAAAGCCACTCGTTTCCCTTACCCAATCTGCCCTCTTTTGTTTCTCCCTGTTATGCATATATCATATTCCTTTCCATGTCTAGCTTCCACAGTATGTAGGGAGAACGGCAAGAACAACCCACAGAATAACTAATGTCACCACGTTCATTGCCTGGCACATCGATTCAACCAAACGCCTGTCCGGAAAGGCAACCAGACAGCACTGATTCATGTCGTGCCGTGAGCTATTTAGGAACCAATTGCGTGAACGTTGATAACCTTTTCCGTAAAACAATGGTGGTCTAACGACTTTTGTTCTGGCCTATACACAAACTTCTTTCGACGGCGGACACGCTGAGCAGCACAATCCTACTAAACGGAAAAATCGGTTGCAGATTTGTCATAATCATTTTCGTGATGGGAGGACCCTGGAACAAGGAAGCATCGATAACAAAAGAAGATGCCTTTCTGCCGAACTGAACTTGTGAATCCTTCATATGTCACCGTGATGATGACCTGCGTGTCTCTGTGTCTATTGCAGGGCGAAGGCCCATCCCAACGAGCCGCAAAGTGTAGTGTCCGCTTGTACACTCGGAAATAAGTTCTTTTTATCTTGTCGGTGGAACAACAGCTGTGGAGGCGGGGCATGCGCGCATATGTGTTGCTACGTAAGAAGTCCGGTAGTCTGCAGCTGACTTCACTTTCAGTCTCATTCTTGTTTACTCGTAGCATTTGTTGTTAATTGAGGCCGACGGCAATTTCACCCAGCGTAGACGTTGCAGACGCGACCCTCTTCGCAGCACTGTCAATCCAGGTGACGTGGAAATATTTGGAAAGTATGTGTGTACCTCACAATCCAGCAAACAATTTATATTAATATGTGGGGTTTAAAGTCACAAAACCACCATATCATTATGAGAGACGCCAAAGTGGAGGGCTCAAGAAATTTTGACCACCAGGGGTTCTTTGCACGCGATTAGGGAGCACTCGGTCCTACAGCATTTCCGCCTCCATCGAAAATTCAGCCGCCGCAGCCGGGATTTATATCGCAACCTGTGGGTCAGCAGCCGAATACCTTAGTCACTAGACCACCACTACGGGCATTTCAATTTCAAGGTATTGGTGCTCTTGCAGTGGCGTCTATCACATGCCCTTTTTAAAGACTGGTAAGGTATGACATGAATGCATGGCAAACATAAGTGACAGACTCCGACGTGGAAATCATGACATACATGTCATGTAAGTCATCACTACACGCCACGCTCACGATGCATTCATGGTCTTTTTGCTTGCTTTACATATGCTAAATTTAGTATTACGGAACGAGAATGGATGACGAAAGTATATGACTGGTGCAAACATAAGAATCATCACATGGGTGTCACGTAGGAACATGAACACATACCACGGGGATGATGCACTCGCAGCCATTTCGCTAGCTTCACATATACCAAATTTGGTAATACTCGACGTGAATGGACGACGAATGCAAATGACACGACCAAATATAATAATCATGACATGCGTGTCATGTAAAACTTGACTTCATGCTACGCTCATAGCGCGCTCGCAGCTATTTCGCTAGCTCCACATATACCAAATTTGGTATCTCATGGCGTAAATAGACTACGAATGTAAATGGCATATTCCAACATGATAATCAAGATATGCCTGTCATGTTACACGTGACTACGTCCTACGCTCATAGCGAGCTCGAGGTCATTTCGCTTGCTGCAACTATGTAAAATTTTGTATGGCATGACGTGAATGTGACACGTCCTAACATGATTATCATGGTATGCGTGTCATGTAAAACATGTAGGACTACACGCTACACTCATAGTGCGCTCGCGGCCGTTTCGCCAGCTCCACATATACCAAATGTGGTATCACGTTGCTTGAATAGACGATGAAGATGAATGGCCCGTTCAAGCATGGTAAACATGACATGCGTGTCATGTAAGAACATAACAACATACCATGCTCATGACGCGCTCGCGGTTATTTCGCTAGCTTCACTTATAAGAAATTCGGCATTACGTGACGTGAATGGTTTACGAAGGTATATGACTGATGCAAAAATAATAATCGTGACATGGGTGTCATGTAGGAACATGAACACACACCATGCTCATGATGCACTCGCTACCATTTTGCTAGCTCCACATGTGCCAAGTTTGGTATTCCGTGACGTGAATGGACGACGAAGATTAATGACACGTCCTAACATGAAATCATGATTTGCGTGTCATGTAAGACATGACTACAGGATACGCTCATAGCACTCTCGCGGCCGTTTCGCTAGCTCCGCGTATGCAAAATTTGGTAGCATGTCACGTGAGAGAGAGAGAGGAGACGAAACTTTTATTGGTTCCAGCAACACGCGATAAAACGCGCAACTGGCTAATCCCATGACGGCATCGGCAGGTATAGCCTGCCGGCGCGATCACGGGAACACTGGACGACCAGGATTTGGTCTTCATAGACGACAAAGGTAAATGACGCGTTCAAACACAATTAACATGATATGTGTGTTATTTAAAAGCATGACTACGTGCTACGCTCATAGCGTGCTCGCAGCCGCTTCGCTAGCTCCAAATATACTAAGTAAGGTATCACGAGGCGTAAATAGACGACAAAGGTAAATGACACGTTCAAACATAACAATCATGACATAAAAGTCAATGTGGCATAATTTACGTGTGCCTCGAAACGTTGTGCAGATTTCAAAGTGACAAACCAACCTTCCTCAATCGTGCTTCGCATATCATCGATTACCACTGTACGTGTGATCTGCCAATTTTTGTAAACCGTGCATTTCTGAAGTGTTGCGGTTCGTAAAACAGCTTTATTTCTAAAATAAGGCATCGTCCGGTTCATGGACTATCCTCAAAGGTGGTTGGAACTAGGACTCTAAGGAACAACCAACCAACCAATTACTTCACTCATAGCTTCCGGTGATTGAATGTCGAAAGGAAGGCAGCATAAAAAAAATATGATCTTCCGAATTGCCATGCATGTCAAAATGTTCTCCTCTGAAGTACTCACAGCTGTTGTGTAAACGCTGGCCTGCAGTCGACTTGAATATCAAACGCGTACGTCTTAGAACTCCGAGACTACTCATGGCGGTAATTGCTGAACATACGTTAGGAACACGCGCGGAAACTGACCTCGCCTGTCACAAAAGCCATCACCTACCCATCATTGGTGTTTGCCGAGTTCCCTGTTAAAGGGTGGGCAGTCGAATCAGCCAACCAACACGCTTTCTAAGAATCAGTGAAGCAAAAAAATTGACGTGCTTCTAAATATGGTCTGTGTTTTGTCATTTGTCTTGCTGAAGTAAAGATTGTTGTTAAGCAGTTTGGAATTCAACATCCGGGGCCCGAAGGCCGGCATTATCGTCAAAGCCCTTTAAACAATTACAATGTAGGTTCAACTCGGCAAACATATGAAGCCATTGGTCTAGTGCTTACAATTTCAGTTCAAAAATGTCAGTCTAGAATTTTGAAGCGCGTCAAAGGCAGCGCTCTTCCTTCTCATCGCACATTCATGGCAACAAGAATCCCGCGCACGTGGGCTTTGCCGGTAATGACGCGGCTCACGCCAGCGCCCGAAGATGGACGGTCCAGACGCAGGCGTTGGAATATCAAAGCATAGTTTCGACAACGGCACCATTCTCTGCGCGGTATCGCCTTCCAATATTCCACAACATCCGCAACGACTATACCGCGTCGGTCGTTAGACTTTACCACCATGCATCCCCGCGAAGGCGCGAGGTACTTTAAGACAGCTGCAGGCTCGCACCTTTCCATCTTCTTACCTTCTTCACCTCATGTAGCCCTCTCTTTACCCGTCCTCCTTCTGTAAATATTGCTCCGCAAGAAAGGCAAATTCCTAATCATGTCACGTGGGGTTGCCCTAAGCACCTCTTTTCCGTCCCTGCAAAAAGTACTAAGTAATTGGGAGCAGATGGAGGCTGCCTTGAGCAGCTTGAAACTCGCGACGTCCTGAATGCCATCCTGGGTTAGGCAGAGAAGATTGCGGAGAACTATCGAGTGTGGCAACCTCCCCTCATCTCTATTCCATTGCCCCTCTCATTTCAAAAGGAAAAATAAACTTTTTACTTACCTGCCATTGGGGCAGACTTGACCCCCTCCCCCGTTAGAAGATTAGGGGGCGGGTTGGCAGCCGGCCACCCCCTTGCCTTCCCCCCCCCCCCCTTAACGCTCCTATGCACTTAACAAAGCCTGTGCGCTATCGTGCTGTATGGGCCTCAGTCAAGAGGCTGCCCCGCCGTGGTGATCTAGTGGCTAAGGTACTCGGCTGCTGACCCGCAAGTCACGGGATCGAATCCCAGCTGCGGCGGCTGCATTTTAAATGGACGCATAAATGCTGTAGGCCTGTGTGCTTAGATTTGGGTGCACTTTAAAGAACCCAAGGTGGTCGAAATTTCCGGAGCCCTACACTACGGCATCTCTCATGATCATATGGTGCTTTTGGGAAGTGAAACCCCACGTTTCACTTCACGTTTCCCCACGTTTCAATCAATCACTCAAAGAGGCTATACTAGCATTCTTTTAAAGCCTCGTTAGACACCCCCACACATGTTCACACTGGATTCGTGCTCAGGCTGGTGTCACTTACACTAAATGCTATTTCCAAAGAATCAAGATAGCTGAGTCGCCTTTGTGTGCTGCGTGTATGCTTACACTAAATCCCATTTCAGAAGAATCGAGATTGCTGAGTCGCCTTTGTGTCCGGCGTGTATGCTACGCGAACACACAGCTCTTTTAATCGACTTTACTGGAGGTGATTTTATCCGCGCATAGTGACACTGGTTGAGAAAGAAATGCCGAGGACAATAAGACTCGTGTCTCATTGTCCCTAACGTATCTTCCGAGCCCGTCAAGTTCCGTAATACCAGCAACAAGGCAGCTAATGTGTTAAAGGCTAGATGCCAGTGTCCGGGTGCCTACATCAAGCCGTACGCCGGTTGCGAAACACCAGGTGGTTGAAATTTGCGGAGTTCTTAACTGCAGCACTTCTCGTGATCACATCGTAGTTTTGAGGTGTAGAAGTCTAAGAACAGTTACTATTAGCTTCCTAATCACTACCGGATAGAACCTTGGAGGCTATTTATTCTAGCAAACAGAGCTCTGTCGTCTGAAACTTACATTTATGCAGCACTTAACCAAGAGGGCTTGCTCTACCATGCACAAACACCGCGTGTGCATACCCTGCAACATGATACGCATCTAGACAGCCATCGCAACACTGTACGGTACTATTTTACACTATGCTATGAGAGTTAATCCTTGTGATTAGGACGTTCGCCTTCAGATCGGGGTAACAGGGCTCGAGTGCCACCTCGCCACGAAATATTTTCGGCAAGAATTTCTCGCTAAATCCTTCTTTCTATCTCTTTCTGTATCTGCCTTTCTGTAATATTCCTCTTGTCCATCACAATTATTTCAGGCCGATCAAATTGGTACGCATGTTCCGGAACTGCAATTTATGGGGGCGAAGATGAAATAAATGATGAAGAGAGCACATGCCGATTCATGGTGACCATAAGCTTCTGTAGACGATAAACAGCAAACCTCCACCATAACAGCACTGCAAAACTTTACACCTTTAAGGGTGTATTTTTGTCTCATGGGCAACACGCTTTCAGTATGTTTGAAAACACTCTAAAACGTAGGGTCTAAGCAGGCGTTACACTCTACTTTTATGAGTGTTTATGAACAACTCTAAACTATGAGTGTTCGATCAAGCTACATCCATTAGAACGTGGTGCAACACATAAAAACACCCTTGAAACGATGGCACTTACATCTATAAGCGTACTTGATCAAAATGAAGTGCAAATAACGGGACAACAAATGGATAGACACACAGGAGTAAATGATTCGCCCTGTGCGTCTTCTCTTTTATTGTCTCTTTCATGGCACTCCATTCCATCAAATATGCATCACCATCTGGCCCAAGCCTCAACTGTTCTATAAAACGGTGGAGACACACAAGACTAATCTTTCCTCCTGTGTGTCTCTACATTTCTTGTCCCGTTATTTGCGCTTTATTTGATCAAGTATGCGTATACATGTAACTGCCACCATTTCAAGGGTAAAAACACTCTAAAATAGAGTGTTTTTAAACATACTAAAAAGATGTTGGTCATGGGACAAGAATACATCCTTAAGGGCGTAAAGCTTTTCTCATTGAACACTGCTGTAGTACGTCCATGAGTTGACAAATCTGGCGTATGGCGTTTTCAACGCGAGAGGTACTAAATTTACGCCACATGAGATCATCAATTACGCCATCGGTGCCATATTCATGATGTCATGTTATGACCTACCAACTTGCCCAAGTTCCCACGCTTCACATCTTAAGACGTCATCGAATGGAACTGTCCGTCGTTAGAACTGTAGCATAAAAGGAATAAGTGACAGCATTTAGACCAACCCTTGCATATTCCTTCACTAAACTTCCTTATCTATCTATCTATCTATCTATCTATCTATCTATCTATCTATCTATCTATCTATCTATCTATCTATCTATCTATCTATCTATCTATCTATCTATCTATCTATCTATCTATCTATCTATCTATCTATCTGACTGCGACAACCAGCACGCAAAAAAAAACATTTCAACAAAAACCATAGAGACATTAGCATGCCGCTAAAGCGCACTTACCAGTGGAGTAGAAATGAAAGGATGGGTTGTCCGACATTCCTTTCCTTTGATTATTTTCGACACTGAACATGTGCGTATACCCGCACACATACAAACACCAGAACTAATCCATGTAATGTTCGGTTGAGCCCCACCCTTTGTAAAAACATTTCCCACTACGAACCTGCTACTCACCTTCAAAGAACGCGGTGGGGGTCTCGGCGATGTGGTTGACGTAGAAAACGAGCGTAAAAATTGCCGTTGATACGCTAAAGCTACCTTCTCAGAAATAACCACTTCGTCACGGAGGAATCGGGGAATATACCCGCTTAACCAAACCAGCAGCTGTCTTGAACTGTGAATTTGTTTGCCTGGATGCAGCACTTAATGATGCTTTCACAAAGTCTTCTAAACCAATACGTTTCCTATTGTAATGCCCTTTAGCGAAAAAGTTCTATTGACGAAAGCTTGAGGTGTTTGCGCCTTGACCTATGCATCAGTCGGCGCTCTACCGCGCTACCGACATTTTCAACCCCGCCATCATCAGAGACGGACTTCAGGTAGCGTATTATTGTTGCTGAAATTGCAAAGCATTTAATACCGCTATAACAGCCACTTGAACACCATCACCACCACGTCAACTTAATAATCGTTATAAGCAGCTTCATCAGAAGGGTTGTATAACTGCACATTTTATAGCAGTGCCTGTTAGCGCATGCCTTTGCATCGACGATTTTCTTCAATTGTTCATCTCTGCTTTTAAGATGGGAGCTGTCATGCATTCAAATAAATAGAATTTAGTTTCGTCGTGTTTAAGTGTTTTCATCTGTAGGAGGAGGAGGAAAAAATTTTATTTTGAAAAATCCGGCGGCCTCGTTGGTGCAGAGCTCCCGCCTAAGGTGTCAGCAAGAAGCCCTTGTGCCCTAGCGGCGTCCTCGGCCTGTCGAATTGCCAAGAGCTGTTCCTCTAGGTCTGAGCTGAGCAGCAAGGTCTCCCACTGCTGATCATTATCATTTGTGTGACCCTGTCGAAGTCCCTTTGAACAGGCCCGAAGGATGTGAAGGTAGGTCCACCCTTTCCTTGCATAATTTGCACCTGCCGGTGTATTGACCTGGGTAATAGCGCATGTTGGCCACCAGGTTCGGGTACGTATTTGTTTGAAGGAGGTGCCAGACCACCGCTTGCTGCTTGCTAAGATTGCATTGCGTGGTAGGAATACCGGACCCTTTCCAATCGGTAATGGGCAGTTATTCCCTTGTAGGCAACCATACGATCTCCTCTGCAGCCCAGTGGGGGCACCTCAGTGGCTCGGCGTGTGAGTCCTCGAGCCATGGCATGATCTACCTTATTGCCAGGAAGATAGGAGTGTGCAGGCGCCTCAACAATTTGGACGTTTCTGTTGCCTTGAAAGGTGACCGATATTCTTTGTGCTTCCGGCGAGATTTGCCCTCTGGCCACTCTTCTGCCTGCGGCCTCGGAGTCGCTGTATACACTACTCGCCTGCGTGGAAGCTATGGCCAATGCGATAGCAGATTCTTTCACAGCTTCCATGATGCATGTTCGAATAAAGCCGCCAACCTTTAGGGCACCATCGTTGCCTACGGCCGCAATGACCATGCCACACAAATGCGCATACTCTGCTGTGTCCACGTAGACAGTGCCCCGCGTGGTGGTCTAGTGGCTAAGGTACTCAGCTGCTGACCCGCAGGTCGCGGAATCGAATCCAGGCGGCGGCAGCTGCATTTCCGATGGAGGCGGAAATGTTGCAGGCCCGTGTACTCAGATTTGGGTGCACGGTAAAGAACCCCAGGCGGTCGAAATTTCCGGAGCCCTCAATTACGGCGTCTCTCATAATCAAATAGTGGTTTTGGGACGTTAAATCCCACATATCAATCAATCAATTACCCCAAGCTCTTGGAGATTGTCTATGATGGCTTTATGGGTAAAATTATCAAAATCTTTTGTGAGGGCCAATCCTATAATATTGCCTTATTCACGGCTCTCCTTGTCACCACGTCTATTATTTTATGTTGGAATTGCAGCACAATATCTTGAGTGGAGAGATGTGGCTTGAAACCAATCATCGTGTGATGAAATAGATCGTTATCATTCATGTATTTATTGAGTCGCCTGAGTATCACACGTTCTATTAACTTGCCCATGCACACACGATGTTAAAGAGATTGGTCTTAGATTCTGGAACTGTAGTCTTTTTTTCTTATTTAGATATCATTATTTCCGCCGTTTTCCGTAGCTGTGGATTGGCACCTTTTTTCTCGGCAGTAATTCATATAATGAACGAGAGCTGTGAGATAGTCGTCATCGCCATCACGCAGCACCTTTTTGCTAACACCATCGGGGTCCGGCGCACATTTGGTAGAGAGCGTCATGAGTACAGCTCGTATCTCTGCTTCTATGATCAGTTGGTCTAGGTCTGGGTTTCCTTTGCCACTATACGAATGGAATTGCTTTTTGAACGCATTGCCTATGCATTCTCTTTGTATTTATTGTAGTAGATCTTCTTCTGTACATGAGTAGGTGTGAACTATTTTGTTCAAGTTATATGTCTCTGCGTAGTTCTACTATTCTCTCAGCCTAAACTATATCTGAAGAGGTTCCATGTTTTAGCCAATTCTATTTGTCTCAGAATGCTATCACATGTTGCCTCCCAATTCTGTTCGGTTAGATTAAGTGCATGAGCCTCTATGGCATTTTCGAGCAGAGCGATTTTTCAGCGCAAGGTTCGGTTAAGCTTTCGTTACTGCCAACAATCTTTCATGCTTTGTCTATGGCCTCCGACGTGTGTAGTAACTTGCTGTCTGTGTTCTGTAGCCTTGGTTTCTCCGGTATCGCTAAGGTAGCTTTTTTGACGCTTTGGTGTAGGTCACGCATCCATGCTTCTTTGTCTTCAATGTCACTTTGGTTGCCATTACCAGTCTCGTCTGCACGTATCTTACGAAAGATATCTCAATCAATCAACATTAGTTTTCTGTTTTTCTTGCGCGGGGCGCCGGCATTAACAGCTGTCTATTATATAATGACCACTCCCAAAGTTCTCCTGCGTTTCCCTTCACTTTGCGTCGGCTACGCTTTTTGTGAACGCAAAGCCCGGGATTGTGTTGGCGCACACGCTGTTACGTATTCTGGTAAGTGTTTCGGGATCGGTTAGGAGAGTGAGCCTTTCTCGCTGGGCGTCTATAAGTTGCATCCTTTGACAGTTGCTCTGTGGTATATGCCCAGGCGGCATGGGGGGAATCGAAGTCTCCTACTATTACTATGACTTGTTTCTTTGCAATGTCAAAAACGTTTTTGAACAGCGGGCGGAAGTTCAGCTTGCTTCGAAGACTGCTGTAAACATTTAGACCAGGCCCGTGCTGTAGGCCCGTGTGTACAGATTTGGGTGCACGTTAAAGAACCCCAGGTAGTCGAAATTTCTGGAGTCCTCCACTACGGCGTCTCATAATCATATGGTGGTTTTGGGATGTTGAACCCCACACATCAATTAATCAATCCGCTTAGGGATGGTCTCAATCAAGATGCTGTCTACGCCTGCCACAACAGTGGGGTGCATTATTACAGCGATATTTTTTTCACCGGCGTTAAAATCAGGGTTTTCTCGTCTGAAGCACCGCAATGTTTTGCACCCTGATAATTTTCCCGGTCCTCTCGTCTCTTGCAGAGCTAAGACATCTAGACCCTCTTAGTGTTAATGAACTGATTGATGCTTTCTCGTTTTTGGCGGTATCCACGGCAGTTCCACTGCCAGATTTTGTATGCGTTATTGTGTGGAGCCATGTTGACTGAGTGGATCATCCCCGGTGGCTATGTTTACCTCCACTAAAGCAGGTCGGTTGTATGGCTTACACGCTAATTTCACCGGGCTTGCCTCTGCGGGTCTCACGTCTCTTGGCACACATTCAAATGCAGTTAAACGGGTTTCTATACTGTCGAATATTTGTGCCATTCCCGATAGTTGTACATGTAGTCCCCTGAACTTATTGCTGCTCAAGCTTGTCGTGAGGTGTGAGAACATGCTAACTGCTTTGTCCTCTACTTTTTCGCTAGTGATTTCGTAATTTAGATTTGCTACTACCTTCCTCTTGTGTGAATGTGGATTGTCTCTTTGCGAGTTTACTTTTCCCGTATTGCTATTTGCCTGGGCCCGAATGCTGACCCTGGCCGAATTGATCTCTCGCATTCTGCTTTCTCGAATTTTCACGTTTTCTTCTCGGAGTTAAGTGACTTCCTCTTTTTGTTCAGCGTTTTCCTGGCTAAGTTGTTCAATTAATTTCTGAATTTCAACTATTTCTTGCTCTAGGGTGGACACACCTTCACCCCGATGAGGCAGTGCCAGATGCCTTGCTAGCCCAGCTCACCTTGTTCTTGCTGGTGTCCCTGTGACTGGTCCCGTAGCAGACTCCATGTGGCGACCGTCTGGTCGTCGATGTGAATCTATGTTGCGACTTGGACCTCGACGGGACGTCGACCAGGACCTTAACCGGGACCTCAATCGGAACCAGGACTCTGACCTGGTGCCACCGGTACTTGCTTCATTAGAGGTCGCGGGGGTGTCTGGAGGTTCCGCAGTGCGGCTTGGGTGATGTTCCATGTTGGTTTCCTGCAGTTGATAGTCATCGTTCCGTTGTAGCTGCTGCTCGTGCTCCCACTGCCTCCTCTTCTCAAGAAGGTATGGGGTCCTGTATAACTCTCGGCCCTTCTTGTCCCCTGTGATATGCCCTTTTTAATATAGGCAGCATACTGGTTTGCCCTGATGATCCTCGAGGGGGGGGGGGGGGGGCTCGAAAATCTACACTCTCGACAATTTTTGCTGTTAGGCGTTAGAAAGACGTCAGATCGGTGGCCAAAACGTCCACAAATAGTGCAGGTCTCATGTTACTTTCGATAGAACTCGCATCTGTATTCCACTCCACGGTAGTACACATAATGTGGCACGTGTGCGCCTTCGAATACTATCACCACGAAGTCAATGCGACCCATCCCATCCGTATAGCATGGAGGATGGATGGATTTCTTTGGTTCACGAGGCTTCTTTCAACGTCGTTCGGCATGTCATACTCCGGGATACCTCTGAAGACCTCCTTGGAAGTATTAACCAGTGCCGTGATGTAAGCGGCCGTGCTGTGTGTTTTCAATCTAAGCTGAATCTCTTGCATTTGGCTGTCGCGTGTTGCGTTGTCTTTCTTTGGCATATTAGGATCTTGGTATTCTGTCTAAGGTTAATACGAGGCGTATCTCGTTCAGCTTCAACCGATGAAAGTTCGCCTGCACGCAGAACGCTGTCCGTTATGTACGCAGCGCTCAGAGATGCTATGTTGAGTCCCCCCGCCCCCCCCTCGGGCGAATAACAAACTTGTAGTCTTCTTCTAGCAGTTGTGGCGTTCGTGGCACCACTGGTTTTCTTATTTTCGAGGCCGTGGCACCTCCTCTTTTCGTGGCAGGTTTGCCGGTGCCTGTGGTTTTCTCGATCTTGTTGCGCGGTTCATGAGCCACCATCCAGCCTGGATCGTTGTATGCCCCATTCAACGCTCACGGTGTCCATCATCGTGACGCCGGCTCACGATTCAGCGGGGATCAAGCTGCACCAGAGGTGTTCGTCGCTTGTGAATTACCTCGTGAATGTAATCAGATGCTGCGCTTTTTACGCTGGTAGCCGGCTGTATGTGTTTGCAGGTACAGCCGGCTACCGGCGTAAAAAGCACAGCATCTGATTATACTCGCAAGGTCCCATCGAGCTTTACCTGCACTTAAACAACCTAATATACTGTCTTGAGTGTGCCCCCAGTAGAAAAATATGTAGGCGAAACTGGGCAGCCAATTCACGTAAGACTAAAAGGCCACCGTGCAGACACAAGGCACAATTTATTAGTAGCCGGTCACTTCTACCAACAGGACCACAATTTCGACCAAGCAAAGCTTTACGTTATACAAACTAATTTGCGGTCTCCACGAGAGGGAAAATACATGGAATCATATTTGATACGCGAATTTATTTCCCTACACCCATTAGGAATCCATGTAGCACGTGACAACTTGGAATCACTGAAAGCCACACATAATTGCGGTAATATTTACAGAGTCGAGATACGTTCAACCTTCAAATAGACATAACTTATACTACATTTAACCGCTCCTAGCCTGCATACCGTACTATTAATGCTCTCTTTCAATTTTTCGATTTGAATTATAGATATCAATGTGTCTATATACAACCAACAAGTTCTTTATTTTCTAGAACTGTTAAACCACTACTTTGTTTCTTCTATCTTCACTTTTAAAATCACTCCTACCACGCAACGATAAGGATATTACCAACTCATAAAGTTTTCTGCGTCTTTTTTTTTCACTTTTTTTTCTTCTTCGCAATCTTTTCTTCTTTTTTTTTTCGTCGGTTTACCGTAACGTTCCACCTACCTCGCCCCCCTTTTTATTGTTTCTTTTTTGTGAGTGCGTGCTTCTTTCGTCATTACTACTTTCCTTTGCATTGTCAATTTTCTTTTTGTCATCAAGGTTTTTTTTTTTTGTCTCGCTACGTTGTCTGCATGCCGGAGCAAGCAGGAGGTGAACAAGTTAGAGGTTAACAGGTTCACTATAAATAAAGCCAGTACTTCTCTTCTGCAATACTACGTATGGATGGTGAAACATTATGAGATATAGCATTTGAAAATGATATAGACCTGACTAGTCTAACTTTGTCTTCCTCCTTATTTATAGGACTTTTATGTGAGAACAGAAACGAATATATTTCGCTTTAGCGGAGCCTATATTACTCCTAAAAATTTTTAAAGCTGCCTATTTCACAAACAATCATCTTACCAATCTAGAAATACGTATTTTAAAGAGATACAGCAGAACGTTTCATCTACACTGAGAATCGCAAACCCGCACACGTGTTAAAAAACGTTGCCGCTTGTTTCCTGCATAGCGAGGCATCAGCTGAAATATGACGTCTCCTTACATTCAATTTTGTTCAAACTAATCTGTTTTTTTTTTCTTGGCAACTCAAGAGGAAGGCGAGAAAGAATGGGTGATGAGGGACCTCGGCACCCACATATTATTGTGTGAGCCTTTATATTGGCTTTAAGCGTAGTCAAGTAGGTCACTTTTAGTCCACCAACAGAAAATTTTTCGACGAAGAGCGCACAGCAAGTTTACTCCTTCCCTGCTATTTGTTTGCATCATTGCTGAAACACACTTCATTGACGGAACCATGCAACACTTTTAGAGTATAGGTCACAAAACATCGCTTGTCGGTAGTGAAAGCGCCAGAGAACACGCCAGCAAGATATTAAAGCGCAGCACGCGACATGGAACTTACGATAAATTCTGAAAATCAGCTAAAAAATCACTTTCTCTTGTCTCGACAAGTAAAGCTGTGTGCTCAAAAATATATTTCGTCTCAGGCCCAGGTACCATGCAATTGGCTTATTTGAGCACGGTGCTCTCGGTAGTTAATGGGGCCGCTGCGGGAGGGCACCACGTGTCTTCGCGATCGAATCGAAAAGCGACGCTCTCGAAGCAAACAAGAAAGGGAGAAAAAAAGCTTGAAATCATGTGGTGGGCATGACATACTCTTTTCTTCCGTGCCATATTTTCCTGCCTACAGCTTGCAGAGCTTTCGTCACACGAGAGAAAAGACCAAGCAATTGCAACGTACGACAAAAATAAATGTATCTCCACTCGTATACCCTGAACGGACTCTAAAATTTTGCGGTGGTCAATTCTTGTAACGATCAGCTTTTTTTACTGAATCTATTCGATGGCTATTTGTTGGGGGGTTCGTTAAAAATATTCAGCACACACTCGGCAAGCGTGGCCAAGTGGTCAGATCCCTGGCTTACGGACAGGGGGACCAAGGAGACCCGAATTCAGGCACCAGTTGCCACGGAGAAATATTTATTTTAAATTTATTATTTATTTTGTACGTACCAACTTTGAATTAGGAGAGTTTTCAGTCAACTTTAGCTTAGCTTTCAAAAGACTTATGCAAAAGTACGAAATAATGACCTCTTTTTTTCTAGGAAACATTCATTGGTCATTATTCACGACTGAAGTTACGTATCCCACATCCTCCTTTCTTCTGATCGTCTTAGATGAAGCTAAATAACTTACACTAACTCTTCAGTCCAAAAGCACGTCATGCAATCAATCAATCAATCAATCAATCAATTAAGCAATAAATCATAGTTTCTTCTGGCCCTTTCTCGCAGTGACCGACTTAACTAACTTTATCAAGTTTGCCGAGAAGAAACAAAAATGAAGAACTCGTTTTTCACACAAAAATACACAATACGTATTATGTGTTCGCGAAAAAAACACAGGGGGTGAGGGCAAGCACTGTATTTGCGACTCTCTGCCGACGCCCATGCGCCGTTACCCTTCTGATAAGATTCACGTGTGTCGCCGCTTTCGAAACTCTTCGCTGAAATTATCATCTTCTTCATCGGCGGAAGTCGAAGTCACGGCCCAACCCGCAGGCTAGTTCGCTTCACCACCCACGCCACAGCTCCCAACGCACCAACGTAGACCAGCAGAGGCCATCAGGTGCCACGCGAATACGCTGGCGGCCAGCATCGTGCTCATGGGGCTGTCAACATCCCAGGGTTTGTAATCGGGCAGCGGATTGTGAAGGATGAAGCCGACCTGCCATAGCCACGTCCCGTGCAGCAGGCAAAAGTAAGCTCGGCCCAGGGACAGCAGGACGCTTCGGGGTCGACACATTTCGGCTACGATGCAGGCCACCATGGCAAGCATGCTGTACACCAAGAGTGTGTGCACCATGACGTCGAGGCGCGCCCTTCCGTGCAGGTGTAAGTAGAACAGCAGGCCCTCGGAGACACTGGCCAGCAGCAGTGCCACGTAGTCCACGTTCCGTGGGAACGGGAACCCGGCCTTGTACATGATGTCTACGACACCGTTGAGAAGGTAAAATGCGTACATAGTCTGGTGTTGTAAGCTCTCCGCATAAACGGATTGGTCGCCTCCGAAAGTTGCGGGGTACTCTCTGGCAATGCATGCGCATGCGCCGATGATCTTGACGACGCCTTCGACGCTGAATTTCTCGGGGAGACAGGGCACCGCGTACGTGCAATGACAAAGGTACCGTTGCTTGTTCTGCTTGCTTCGGACGTAGTTGAGCCACGCCGCGAAGGTCCACCATGTTCCGAAAAGGACGAAGAAGCCTCCGGGCAATGCGTGACCCGCAAAGGTCTCCATTGTGGATTACAGGTTGCTAGATTGCGTTGACACCGGAGGCAACTCGTGCTTCTCACTTGTCCTGTAATTGAACGAAAGACAAGCAATAGTGATACTGTCTAGTTTTCTTCTTCTTTAACATGGGTGTTTTATGTTTCACATCTGCCCTTGAAGTGACGGTGGTATAATGCGCACAACGAATGACAAAGAAAAAAGCTTCGTTAACTTGAATAACATGGGAATCGAATCCCTGACCTCTGGGTCTGCGACAATAGGTGCCGGCCCACTACGGTACCAACGCACAAGCACGAAAATCTACAAGTGCGTCGTCTGGTGTCAGCCTTATGCGAGCGCTGAAGTATCGCTTCACGACAGCATCGACCACTGACAGACAGCGCCTTGGTAGTGTCAGCGTAACAAAAGTTACAATCTAGCCCGTCAGTCCACCTGGTCTCCGCCATTGCCACTCCCTCTGGGTACATGGAGCATTTGGTATGACTAAAACGGAATGTTTTTCCACGTTTGCGGCTCAAGATACAAAATCTGGCTCTCACGTTTTTGACGCACTGTGATGAATGTGCCTGAAAACAGACTTAGCTTGCGCAATTACTATAAAGTAGCGCACACCTTGGCGTTTCTCTCCTCAAATGACGGCGCTTCCAACGAGTGTTGATTTGGTGCTTGTTGATGTCGCCTTTGCGCGGGACTAATTATGTGCTGTGTCGTGGTGTATGTTGACTAATTCAGCTACTATGAAGGTTTAAAGTGAATTGCGAGCGGCCTGTGTACTACTCCACTAGCCTTTTGCATGCATATATGATGTACACGGTTCACTTTGATGTTGTACCGATTTCTATGACACAGAGATCAATTGTGATTTTGGCTGTGCTTCTTCAGCACTAATATCATGTTCATAAGATAGCCGGTTGTAACGTAGCCCACCTTGAAATGTTCTCTTTACCCAGGAATAAAACTAAAGCACTACCATAGTTTCCTTGGCGGTCTGAATTCAGCGATTCTGACTGAGTGGCGACCCTGAAAGTGGCTCTCTGAATGGGAAACGCAGAGGACTGATCGTGAAGGAGGTATGCGGAAGCTGGAAAGAGAATTCTGCAGTACGACGTGTGGGGATCAGGTATGAGAACAGGACGCATCACATGGTGTATCGAACCAAGTCAGATGTGAGTGGTTCCTTCTCACAGATGGTGTAAGTCACCACCTGCCTTCCAGGCGTACACGAAAAGATTTACAATCTTCTGCAGTCAGCCGACAACACGTATTACGGAATAATGTCTGCGTTTTAAAGGGACCGGACAATACATTCATGGCAAGCATATTTAAAATAAAGAAAACTGCATTTCGTTGTCCAAATCAAGACCTCACAGATTTCCTTTCAGCGTGTTTAGTCTGGTCACTTTTTATAAAATCATTATTTTCAATGTTCCTTCTGGATCCTTTTGAAACTATAATATAATTGATTGGTTGATATGTAGGGTTTAAGGTCCTAAAGCCACCAATATGATTATGAAAGACGCCGTAGAGGAGGACTCCGGAACTTTAGACCACCTGGAGTTCTTTAACGTCCACCAAATCTGAGCACACCGGCCTACAACATTTCCGCCTCCATCGGAAATGCAGCCGCCACAGCCGAGATTCGATCCCGCGACCTGCGGATCAGCAGCCGAGTACCTTAGTCACTAGACCACCAGCGGTGGGGCTATAATGAAAATTCAGTGTGTGCATGTCAAAGTCTCGCGGAAACATACGGCAAAGATATGTAAAATATAATGATTCAGTATGCATACCGCAAGCAATAGATGGAGGTAATATACTATAGCGTAATAGGTATGTTTCAGTTTTGACATATTTCTCAATATGTAACGCAGAGCGTTTCTGCTATGATGAAGCAGCCTTTGCTGGTGATATGTCTACATTTACGTGCAGAGATGTCTAACATCAATCATTGTGAGAAAGATCCGCAAGCTAGTGGTTAAACCCTTCGCATTTATTCCACAAGCGGTCTGTCCTCATACTCGTGGCTATCGCTGTAAATAGCTGGCAACGGTCCTATTTATGTAAAGGCGAACACGTCACAACGTGCCAGTGCTACGAGGCGCGCCAGTGCATCCTTTGCGGCGGCGCATGCGCAATAGAACGCGCCACTCTCGCCGTATTTCATAGTCAAGTAGGAACGGTGCACTCCAGCATAGTGAGAGAAAATAGCAAGCATATTTTCCTAATATGCACTAGAGGGAACTCTGGCGCTAGTGTCTGCGGAAGCTGCAACGCGCGGTGCTTCTTCGAGTGTGGGAACGATGGGTAGCACACACATTTCTCTAATCTTCGTACTTCTGGCCTGCTTTTGGCTCCGTGTGTGTTCGTGTGGCTTGGAGCTGTTTCATCACGAAACGAACATCGACAAATGTTCAGCGATTGCGCTTCACTACCTTATTCTTTTAGGCTTACCTTTCCAAATCAGGTCACGAAGTTCAAAAGGGTTGAATCTTTCTTTCAAAACAAAACCAAAATACAGCAATAAACGAAGCCGCAAGTAGGATTCACCGCCCGAAAGTACGAAGACTAGGCAAACAGTGTGTGTACTACCCATCATTCCCACGGTCGGTGAACGATCGCAGTGACAGAGTCCCCTCTAGTTAATTTTAGGAAACTCTATGATATCAAGCACCCCTGGGCGCCTGCGCCGTTTCGCTTCGATGCGTCGCCGCGCCGGATGTGCTGGCGCTCCTGGTAGCACGGCCAACGACGCAACGTGTTCAAATTACGATGAGACGAGCCTGTAGGCCGACGGAGACCGTCAATGGCCATCCCAAGATCTCGTGTGGGAAAATCAGAAGGCAAGATTCTCAACGTGCCAAAAGAATTAGAACTTGTACCAACAAGCTCGCCATCTTCGATCATCTACAGGACTGCAGAAACAGCGTCTTCACCTCAACCTGAACTACACTGCATGACGAATGTACTTCTCGGCTGATCTGCTCATTTTGTGACACCAGAGAGAATTATCTTGGAGTGACGTCATCACTTCAGCATCTGCCACGATTGAATATAACTGAAACTGATCCTCCATTTACTTGGTGCAGCCGTCGTCCCAATCACGCAACGCCTTCACAAACGATGAATAAATTCGTACTTGAAATCACTTCATTTGATCCAGCCGTAATGAAGTGTCGAAAATATGGCTCTGCATTTTAAAAATACAGTTAAAATAATTTTTGAACTGCGCTTGTGTATACCACATGTGCTTCTCCAAAGCATTGAGAAGCGTTCTTTACCAGTTTACATCCCATTCGCGAATGCGAAGAAACTAGTGATTTAGAACACTTCAATTAGGCATCTTTGTGATTGAGTGCCAAATGGAAGACAATATTAGAGGCAAAATAATCGGTCAAACGCTGGAGTGTCCGAACAACGTTCTTCAAAGTACTGCAACATATCGCTAGGACATAGAATACTTCTTACTGAAATATCTACACGCTTCGACCAACCTACATAAATGTTATTTCGAAGTTTCTGGAACAGACCTGAGAGACACAAGTGGAGCAATCACTGGCGAAAATTGTCTCCGCATGTTGTGAACACTTCCACCGAGAAACCAGCTCTATGTGCTGATTGCACGTGTCGTGTAATCTGAATGCAAGGAATTAGATCGGCATGTTTATTTCTGATTCAGTTACGTCCTCTACATTCTGTGCAATCTGTGCAAAAATGAGATATTATTGATTTCACCTCTGTATTCTGGGTGAAGGTGCTTGAAGATGGTCCGCTTCATCTTTTAATGAAGCCGCTTCCTCAGAGTGTATGACCTGGGACGCATGTCACTAGACAAAGTCCTTTTTTCTGTTCCCATCTTATTAAGCATACGAGAAAGTATTTTCATCAAGGGGACAGGAAGGTGTGGACAATATCTATGAGCTTATCTATGCTTCGACTATGTTTCGTGTTATGGGTGGAAAAGGACGAAGGGGGAGGGGGAGGAATTTTTTTTGGGGGGGGGGGGCTTTAGAGAGACACACACCCCCACCTCTGTCCTCAAGCAGGCGGCACCCCTTGTTTTCTTTAGGTGGCGCAAAGTAATCCTCTACCTCCTGAAGTGTCGAGTTCAAAAAGACAAAAAGCTTCTCAATGGACGCATAAATATAAACAGGGGGATAGCCTGCTTCTTAAGACCACCTGCGTCTTTTCAAAATGGACGGATATCTTGCTTGTGAGGACAACCGGCCTTTTTTACCCGCTGTTTGTAAATGTTAGAAGTAAACATTTCTTGGGATCCAGCATCGTGGAATCTCGATTACCAATATTTAAAAAACCTACATGGCCATAAGCCTGCACATCAAGAATTACAAGGCCGGTACGACTCAGCAAAGACATGCAGCAGTCCTGACAAGACTAAAAAAGCCGGTGGTCGGGCCCCGCCCCACCATGCGCACGCCTAAGCCGCCAAGGAATACTTTTTGGGCGTTACGCACTTTGTAAAAAAATTTTTAGAGACTGGTTTTGTGACGTCATGAAGGAAGTGTTCATATTATTCACTTTCGTGGATAAATGATAAGTTGGAAGTAAGTGCTTGTGTTGTCATCACCTCTTTTTCTCTTTCTTTGTGCGTGCTTAAGTGTTCGGTGACGTAATGCCCACAAGCCCAAAAAATCAATGCTCCTTAGAGGCACCGGTGTCATTCTTCTCCAACACTTCCTGTTGCTCAGTGTTGCGGCATTACGACGTGCGGCTTATATGTCACATGACCTCATAAAATCTGTCATCACATAACATAATCGTTTATTATCAAATAACTGACAGATTTCAGAAGCACTAGTGTTTCTTTAGGTGAGCTTACGTGAAGCACCATCAGTGAACCTCTTCCGTATCAACCTCTTCCGGCTGCTGATAGACGTCAGACGCTAACCAGGTGGCGCTGTGAAAAACACTGCCACCAGCGCCCCCATCGCCGCGCCGGCCATAAATGGGTAGTGCAAAGAGAGCCGTCCACAAGTGCTCGGGCAAAGGCCCTTCTTTTTTGTTGGTCTTGAAGTGCAGTTTCCTGATAATGAAGCACCTGGCAAACTTGCTTCAATCCAACCTCGCTTCATGAAAATAGAAAGCTCATGAAAACAAATTGCAGGTGCAATGCAAAGTGTTTCACTAATTTCGGCGAGTTGCAAGTGAGTATCGCTTGGTATCAAGTTCTAGGCAAGCACTGCGACGCGCATTCTGTAACACCTAAATGCGTTAGCCTTGGGAATATAGATGATGCCAAAGCGATGAAGTGCATACACGAGCAATCTATCTTACGATGAGTCGTACAAAGCTCGCTTTATCTGGCACGAATGACCCTGGCGATTTTCGCCTTTGCTGTTGCATTCTTTATTGATCTCTCTCTTCCTGTGCGTTCAACTGTTTTATTACTTGTGCTAGAATGTTCTGTAGACGATTGTATTTCATTTGTACACTTTCTCGGCGTAAAACGCAAAGCGATACCGAGGCCTCCGAGATAGCTCCGGACTGCGGAGACCAACGGCAAGAAAAACCTTATTAAGGTCGCGATCATTCTGTGACTTACCCGTGTGACCTACGTGCTCGTATTTCCTATTTAAAGCTGGAACTTAGACTTTTCAAAGCCCTACGTTCTTGTGGCGGGAAAACTTCAGATTATGGGTGGTTGCGGCGCGTGCGATGTTTTTCGCGCGCGTCACCTGTCTATATACTGTTGCACGGCGCGAACCACGGTCAGTGGCTCTGTTAAGCTTCATAATCAAAGTTACCACGGTTGTCCGTCAAGGCTACTCAAAACAATAACAGGAGACTTACATTATCACACTTTCTCATGCGACCGGCTGTAGAGAATGCGAGTAATTCGCTTACCCAACACGATCGCAACCGCCCGTATTCAGCGCTCTCGCCATTCTGCTTTGAGAAATCTGCGGAAATCAGTAAAACTGAAATCTTCTACGTCCCTGGCAATTCACAACGCAACAATAGCGTCGGCTGGGGTCTTTTTTTTTTTTTTAGAGCACGGAACTGTTCCACTTGTTCCTGTTTTCGTAGTAGTTCCGGCGTGTGAACCAGCAAACAATTCATGGCTGTCCAGTGATGCGTCAGACTAGCGGAAATGAATTCGTAGACTTTTTCTGAGTGTTCAATGGGCAAACACGCCTAATACTTCGCTCAATCGTTGTTTCGCATGCACTAGTTGCACCCGGTTGCGCAGTAAACTGTGCAAGGGCGTCGGGCTTTGCGCTACTTAAAACTGCGTTGATAGGTGGCGCTGCATGTCTGGAAAAAAATGATAGTACATAACATTATGCTAGGTGGCGTGAGCCACCACCCGATCTAAAGGACGGAGCCGGATACATCAATCCATTCATCCATTCAGAGTCTGACGTCTATCCGCAGGTCGCGGGATCGAATCATAGCGGTGTCCGCTGCATTTTCGATGGAGGCGTAAGTGCTTCAGACCTGTGTGCTTCGATTCAGGTGCATGTGAAAGAACCCTAGGAGGCCTAAATTTCTGGAACCCTCCACTACGGCGTCTCTATTGATCATATTGATATGATGGCTTTGGTACGTTTAACCCCAACATATATTAATATTGTCTATGTGCACACTTTTTTACACGCATATATTTTGTTTCTCTACAGCGAATAACGCATGATAGAGACACTTGGCAATAACTCCTCACTATTCGTTTTTTTGTGCGACAATTACAGGATGTAATAATCTATCTATCTATCTATCTATCTATCTATCTATCTATCTATCTATCTATCTATCTATCTATCTATCTATCCATCCATCCATCTACCTATCGATCTACCTATCTATCTATTCATCACAGTTGATAGCTCTCCACTCAAGCGATTTCCGTGAAAAACATGTCCCCAGTCTCATCCGACATGACTGTACTTACATTTAGGTGATACGTTGGCTGTTTTCCGTATGGTTGAGTTTAGAAAGAAGTGACGTAGGAATCACCACCTCTGACGGTTTTCTGTTCGTTAGCAACTTGTATTGTCCGACTGCTGTACCTCATTCGTTAATTCAACAATATCGAACGAAGCCGCTTCCGTTAAGACGGGCGTTGTCGAAGGAAGTGCATTGACGTCCACTAGATAGCGCGTATATGTCTTGATCTTTTCACGAGCCTCGGTGCCCTTCAACGAAAGCTGCAGCCGCCACAGCCGGGATTCGGTCCCGCAACCTGCGGGTCAGCAGCCAAGTACCTTAACCACTAGACCACCGTGGCGGGGCCTCCAATATGTGCGTGTGTGTGTGGGGGGGGGGAGTGTGGGAGTGAGGCGTAAGCATTTGGTGTAGGAGTATGTCTCACCTCGAATATAGGGCCGAAGTTACGATTACTTGAAATGCAAGCACGTGACGCAGACAAGGACAGCTAGGACACGCGCTTGTCCGTGTCTAGTCATTTCTTTTCCACGTTACACGCCTGCATTTCAAGCAATCATAAGTCACAAACTTGCCCAATCAGCCGTTTTGCCGAAGTTACGGAGGTTATCTTGCGTGGGCCAGGGGAAGTGAAGGATGGATAGAGGGAGCAGGTTTGATCAAAATGTCTTTAACGCTGCCATTCTGAAAGAATTTTCCCATATCTACATGTGATAATTGATCAAATGAAATTCACATCACACCTTAACAAACATACCGATGCCGACCTTCCAAATGACGGAAATTATGACGACAGTTCGAAAATACAGAACTTCCTTTCCACGGTTAAGCACCAACACGCGGTCACCGCATGGGGCCTCACCGGATCAGCTTTTCATAACAGACACTCTTGTCTAGCTCACCTGGGCAAATCGTTACTGATCGCAATAGGCAAGAAAACGATGGGACCGTGAAAAACATGTGTGTTGAAAAACATCTGTTTTTCCGTGAAAAACATGTGTTCAACATTTCGCAATGTTGAAAGATCATGAAGGCGCATATTAAGAAAAAAAGCATTCACCGGCGACCACGATAATATGGGCTTTTAGCTTGTATGTATACTTTTTCACGTTAACGTGTTACCGGATAGCGGTTTGCCTTTAACGTCTAACCGATACGCATGTTTTTCATTGTTTTAGCTTCCCAGTAGACGCCTGACTCTGAAGTTTTGCGGACACACAGCGCCACTCTGTCGACGCAGTTTTAGCTTGTGCAAAGCCCGACTCCCCAGCACAGTTTCCTGGCGCAATCAAGTGCAACTACAGTGTACGAAACAACAACTGAGCTAAATAATGTGTGTATTTGCGCATTGAACACTCAGAAAAGGAGCTAAAATTTCTCTCCGCTAGTCGGACATGTCATCGAAGCGCCGTGATGTGCTTGCTGGTTAACTCGCCTGAGCGACGGAAAAAAGCAAGAGCAGACGCAACAACTCCGTGCTCTGCAAAAAAAAAAAAAAAAAAAAAAAAGAACTCAGTCTACGCTATTATTGCGTTGTCACTTGCGACAGACGTAAATAACTTAAGTTTCATTGATTTCCGCAACTTTCGCAAAGCAGAATAGTGAGAGCGCTGCATAGAGGCGGTTGTGAACGTGTTGGGTGTGCGAAGGCGGTTGTGAATTCCTCGCGTTTTCCACAGCCGTTCGCATGAGTAAGTGTGATAATGTAGGTCTCCTGTTATTGCTTTGAGTAGCCTTCACGAAGAAACGTGATAACTTCGATTATGAAGCTTAACAGACCCTCTGACCTCGGTGTGCGATTTGCAACTTTATACAGGTGACGCGCGCGGTAAGCATCTCAGACGCCGCGACCACCGATAATCTGAAGTGGTCGCCACCACACAGCATTACGCACGTAGGGCTTTGAAGGTTCTCAGTACCGGCTTCAACTAGGAAATGCGAACACGTGCGGCATTCAGGTAAATCACAAACTTATCGTGACCACAATCAGGTTTTTCTTGCCGCTGGTCACCGCGATTACCGAAGCCATCTCGGAGGCCTCGCTTTGGCCTTTCGTTGTACCCTGAAAAAATGGACACGCATGTATTCCCATTTGCAGTATATACGAACGGAAGACAACCGTCAACAGAGCAATCAATCATGCGTAATAAAACAGTTCAATGTACAAGAAGGGAGAAATCGATGGAGAATGCAAAGGCGAAAATCGCCAGGGCCGTTCGCGCCCTGGGTAAAAGCTTCGTACCTCTGATCGTATAGATTGCTCGTGTGTGCACTTCATCGCTTTGGCATCATGTGTATGCCCAAGTTCAATGCATTTAGGCGTTACAGAACGTGCGTTGGAGTGCTTGCCTGGAAATATAGATGTCATGCGATGCTCGCTTGCTTTCAATCACCAGTTGCAGCACACTGAAATAAGTGAAACATCTTTTGCATTGCCATATTTAATTTTGAAGGGCTTCCTACTTTTATGAAATGACGTTGGATTGAAGAAAAAAGCTTGCCAGGTCCTTGATGTTTGAGGATACCGCGCCGTAAGACCAACGAAAAAGGATGGCCCCTGCACATTCCCTGGCGGATGGTACTTGCGGTTAACCAAATAGGGATGGCACCCACGATAGAGGCGGTCATCACGCACGTCACGAACTCTTCCTTTTTCTCTTACTCTGCGAAGAATTCTTTGCGTGTCTTAATAATTACTCTGCGTGTCTGCGAAGAAGTATCAATAGTCTCACATGGGCGAAGAAAGAAACTTCAGATTCGTGTAGTTCTGCATGCATTCACCTGAGGCGTTCTTCTGTTGTCCTTAGTCTATTATACCAACTGATTTGACTGAATTGTATGGACTTGATTGTATTACGGTAGTAACAAGTGGAATGACGACGGGTGCGACGCAAGCATAAATACATGCACAAAACCATGTACAAACCCACATGTACAAAACCACATGTACAAAATACATGTACAAAACCACAAGAAGCTCACTTAATGTGTTCAAACAGTTCATTTTATTCCATACATGCGTACTGTTGATTGACGCTCGTCTTCAGTTGATCTGCGGAACAAAAAAGACACGGATAACAGAGCCTGCGCACTGTGTGTGTTTCTCTCTCCTGTCCTCGTCTTTTTTGTTGTGCAATTAGGCTGAAGTAATGGAGTGTCTACTTTCACCGAATGCTTCTCTTAGCAAGCTCATCTTGTCTTTTGACAAGATCCCTTGTGCTCTTCGCCCAGAAACCTTCAGGAAATGACACGATCTTCCCTGTTTAGCTTTAATTTTTTTTTTGGCTTGCCGCGTCGTCCTCGGCTGCCTTGGGAAGCGTGACCCGGTCAACTTCACATGTCGCGCGTTATGAACGCTTCACAGTAGTTGCCGACCCGCTCCGCATCCGCGATGGCAAGGTCTTCGCAGAACGAGCCACACATTTCGTTCACCGCCCATGCCACAGCTCCCAAGGTGCCAAGGTAAACCAGCACTGCCATCATATGCCAAGCAAATACGCTTGCGGCCATCATCGAGTCTACGTGGCTCTGCACGTCCCAGGGTTTGTATCCAGGCCGCGGATTGTAAAGGATAAAGGCAATCTGCCATAGCCATGTGGCTTGCAGAAGGCAGAAGTAAGCTCGACCTAAGGACGCCAGAATGCTTCGGGGTCGACACATCTCGGCAATAAGACAGGCAACCAGAGCAGCGATGGTGTACACTAAGAGCGTGTGAATCATGACGTCGAGTAGCGGCTTGCCTTGCAGGTAGAAGTGAAACAGCAGGCCTTCGGAGGCGGTGGCGATCAGCAGCACCACGTAGTCCGTGTTCGGTGGGAGTGGTAATCCGGCGTTGTACAAGACGTCCACGACGCCATTGAGCAGGAAGAACGCGTACATGGTCTGTTGCAGTACGCTTTCCGTGTATGCGAGGCTGTTGCGTCTGGAAGTGACGGAAGACTCCATGGCAATGCATATGCAACAGCTAGTAATCTTCACGATACCTTCGGTGCTAAATTTCGGAGGCAGACCGGGCACAGCGTAGGAGCAACGGCATTGGTAGCGTCGCTTAGTCTCCCGGCTGCGAACGTAATTGCGCCACGCTGCGAAGGTCCACCATGTTCCGAAAAAGAAGAGAAAGCTTCCAGTCAGTGCGTGGCCTATGAAGGTCCCCATGTTTGGTTACAGCTTAATGGAGGGCAGTGACGCTGGGGCCAGATACTGCTTCTCAGATGTCCTGCAGTGGAATGGAAAACAGACAATAATGTCCAAACCGACAGATTAGCGCACCTTAGTCGGCTATTCTCAACAACAAACTAAACTGAGCTATTGCCTCTCTGTACGAGTAATACTGTGGACCAGTGAAGAACTGTGTACATGAAAAAGGGAACGCAGTAACAAAGTAATGCGCAGTAAATGCATCAACATTGAGGTATGAGGATGAATGAAAAAGGCAATATGACCTTGTCTACAGCTATCATTTTACATCACAGTCTATATATGAATTGTCACACGTGCAAGCACACACATTCTTGCATGCGTGGCACTCAAATTAACGGAGGAAAACTTCCAATATTTGTGCATTTTTGTATGCAGTGTCTGTGGTTCACAATAAAGTTTGAACGTTTATGTTTGATAGGCAAGCAACATTCAGTGAAAATTGGCAAATGAAACTTTCAAAGTTTCAGCAATTTTCAGAGTCTTTTGGAATCGTTAAGGTATTACACAAAAATGCTGTTGTTATTTTTTGTGTATTCAACTTGGGTGATCATGCAGTCAACGTTCCAGCACGAAGAACATAGTCGAAATGCAGAAGAAAAAGAAGAGTAGTTGAGTGAACTCTAACCTTTTCAGATCTCTAGTTTATAATTCGTAGTGATGTCTGCCAAAAACAAGAGATGGTTTGACGGCTTGCTCAGCAAACATTTTTGGTTATTGGTATAAAGTATTATCTCTAAACTATTTTTTTTTCACATTGGCTTTAATTTCATTTTAGTTTCATTTAAATATCCTGCTGCCCGGCTCTTGGACCATCCCCTTCTGTGGGTGAGCGCCATCCATCCGAGGTCATCAGCATCAGTTGAGCAGATAAACAGTTCAGTTCCATTCAACCAAGCACCTGTACAGAAAGGTAACCTGACAGCACTGCTGTATAATTCACTTCGAATTAGGAACAAGACGTGTGGGCACTGAGCACTTCTTTTAAGTAATACCTGTGTTGTGGCTAATGTCTTGACATAGACATAAACATTTTTTTGAAGGTTCACAGGATATATATTGGAGACCAGTTTGACTGCTAAACTTGGTCGTGGAGTGGTCGTGAAACTCGCTTTGCCCACAATGGCAAATCAATTAATGCGGTAGCCATAATATGAAATACTACGCGATGCAGGCGAAGCAGTAACTTCGCAATGAAAACAACACGAATGAAGACATGAGCCATCTGCCAATCTCTGTAAAGACACGGCACGCGCTATCGTGGGCGACCACGCCAGCCTGGTCAAACTATGCTGTTTCTGTCGGAGCTACACAGAGCTCTACTTTCGGAACCCCGCCCTGCACCATTTTCGACAGAAACGCCAAGCACAATTTCGCCCCGCTTGAGTCGCGTTCGTTGGCAGCCCGCACACGCTTTCTGTCGCACATACAATAGGACACGTGGAGCACGGTTGTTAATTTGAACTTTATGTAGGACGTCCCTACGACGCCAGCGGTGCCTGCAAAAGTGTGCTTGGATTGTCTTATAATATATATCTAAAAAATGTCTTTGTGTTTGAGTGACTATCTTGAAATGACCTTCTCGAATTATCTGCACATCTCGAATGGCTTTGTCTCAAGTTATACATTGCTCTATAAAAAAGTGTGTAGCGTGTATTGAGAGACCTCACGCCATAATGCGTTTTATCTATATAAGGTGGGTGGGTAGGTGAGTATGAAAAATATATAGCAGTACGTGCCTGTCCTGAGATGGATCATCGATTGTTTTCAACGTGAAATATCGGCACAGATGCATATTGCGGCGACTGATAAAAGTTAACTTGAATCAAGAAGCTGCATATCGAAGCTTTCACTGCTCCATCAAACTCTGAGGGAAAACGTATCCAAATGACGTCGACTGTAACGTCACAAGAGTGGTTCCGGTGAGGGTGATAGATAAGTGCCCTCGAAATAGAGTTGCTATTCTCCGTTGACAATCAGCAGCATATCGGATCAATACAATCGAAATGGGAGTAGAAAAAAAGAGTTATTTCGCTTTCACGTCGTTCAAGGCGAACGCAGAGCAGCGCGTGTTACTTTTTCATGTGTTTTCTGTATCTCCTGCGCACACTGTATATAAATCCTATGACCTTGAAAGTGTTTCACGAGTATAGGGAAAAGTCATATCGATCACGAAAAATATTTGAATCGCAACAGAATAAAGAAAAAGAAGGCGGTCATGTAAGCTGTGGCACACCCACACGCTGGAGGATTGGCCAAGAACCGGGTAGTTGTAATTAAATGCTTCTGTTTTGTACTGTAAGGAAAAACTCATTTCTATGGTTCCTTTGTTATTCTTCGTCGGTGAGCCTTCCTATCACAGAATATCGAATTATATTGAATGAATATATTTATTAAACAGATGACCTAGAAAGTCTTAGCCTCCTCAGGGGTCACCACTGTTTATCTGTTTCCCACATACCCACATAATTTTCCATGCTTCCGTAAGATTCTTTTTGAAATCTACCAAACACTTGGAAAATATATCGGGAAACAGGGGGTTCCGTAGTTGAACATGTGGGATTATGGAAACGACATACAAGACATTCCGGTCGGGACCAGTGCCCCACCGAGCATGTTCTGTACGTAAAGAAATAGTCCCTGTGACCGCTATCAACATAACCATCGTCAAAGCGCATTCCTCCTCTTTTCTTTGTTCCTCCCTTAGATGCCTTTTCTATGGTGAACATCTGTGTAAGAGTGGTGACACTTTCCTTCATTCAAATCTATCTATCTATCTATCTATCTATCTATCTATCTATCTATCTATCTATCTATCTATCTATCTCTATTTATCTATCTATCTATCTATCTATCTATCTATCTATCTATCTATCTATCTATCTATCTATCTATCTATCTAATCTTGGTCGACAGCATGCCGCTGAGGAGATTTCCACTAAATTTGCACCCGCATTCACATTCAGCAAAATGGTACTTGCATTCAGGGTCCACGAAGGGTATGTACCATAAGGTTGACGAATGAAACGACTGTAACACTGAGCACCTATTGCACGTTTTAAGCCAGCTGCTCATCCTAGAGGAATCGATGAACGCAGCGCCTCGCAGAGGCCAACAACTGTCGCAGAGAGATGCGCACGTTTCCCCAACTGCTGCACCTAATACTATCTCCTCGACTTCATCCATACCAAGACGCGTCCGCACAGCTGCCCTCTAGTGGAGAAGTATCGCTGATGCTGGCTTGATATGGCACTTACACCTTGACCTTTTTTTATTCCTCGGCGCAATTTCGTCAAAAGCTGCAGCCGATATCAACTTTTCAAGTAGAGCCATCTGTAGAAACTCATTTGTAAACCTCGACCTTCAGGTACTGCACGGTGTCGGTTACATCGCGACACCCGCCAGGCGTAATAGTACAGAAGCATACATACCACTTGCTCAGACTGAGTCATCTTTTATTGTTCAGCCTGACATCTCATACATCTCGCAAGACATTGGCATTGCGATACGTCTTGGCTTGGCATGCTAATGTATGCCTTCATGACGCTTATTTTGTTTAATTATTCTCTTGTGCTTTCAGGCGTGATATTATGCGTATTGGAATGAACAGACTGATTTGGTTTTTCATCAGCACAGTCTGCGTAAGCCTGTCGTGAAAACTTTGGTGTGTACAGATGCGTACGAAAGCATGGCTGATGCCTCTGTTGTATGAATCGGTATAACATGAAAGTGAAACGTGCGTTCACAAAAATATTTGAGAGTTTATTGTGCTCACTCCAAGCTCAACCGGGCCCAGTCCGTTCAATGGCGGCAATTACAAACAGGCACCTACACTAATCCCGTAATTATGAAACACATTTACCCCGACTTGTATATGACTGATTCGTGCAAGTATTGTAGTAATCGGGCCACATTAGCGCATATTTTCTGGGAGTGTCTATCACTAATTTGCAAAACAAGAGACGCGGCCTCCGATGAGGACCTACGGGAGCGTTGGCGGACGGCGCTCCTGAGCTCAGGACTAGATAATGAGCCCTGAGCGGTCCAGCAGGCCAAAGAAGCTGCTGAGAGACATGGTCTCTCAACCAGCTCCTAGGTGGGAACTCAGCCCGGTATAACCTGCAGGAAGTGAATAAAGTTGTTCACTCACTTATTGTGCTGCGTTCCTTCCCAATGGCGAAAAAATGAATGCAAAGCAACAAATTGCAATATGAGGCGAATAACGGGTGTACTCGGCGACAACTTGTCTTGGCACTCAAGAGAAAGCTACGGAGGTGGAGCTTCTGCACATGTAGCATTACGCGAAGTAGTTCGTTCTGGCGTGCGTCGCATAACGCTACGGAAAGTGACGGGGGGCGCACCATCAGCGTTTCCATATAGACGCAGACGCCGCTTAGCCTTTGAGGTGCACGTAAAAAGGCAGGACTTTCTCACGCCGCCAAAAACGCGAAGTCACAACGAATAAATTAAAGCAAATAAGACTATCTTAATGGTGGGAGCTGCGTCCTGTCTCGAATAGCTTCACGTGAAAAGTAAAGGGGCACTTGTATATTTCACGGTCAAATGCGGGCAATGTTGTGGAACTACATTCACTGGCGGTGAAATGCTAGCGATTTGGCTCTGTAGCCTTCGCTCCAATGCCAAGAAAAGTTGTCGCCGAGTATAGCAGCTCGAAATGTGCAACGCGCTGCTCAAACAGAAGACTCGCGCGGAAAGAACACACACAGGATGAGTGCGACCTAACAATCGCCACAGCTCGACACTTGAAGCGCGTAGCCTAATTAATCACAAAGGAGAACGAACGAAATGAACGCGCAAGTATACACAGGACGAGTGCGAACGAACAGCCTTTCGCAATCGACGCCGCGGCAGTGAACGAAGGTACCTTGATGCTCTCTGTAACGTTAATACAAACGATGAGAGCACAAGACGTAGTACGAAATGTAAAGTGAAGCAGG